TGAAATAAAATAATATTTAAAATCAGAAATATTAAATTTCAGTTAATCAATTATTTCATTTTGATAATCCAAAACTGAATCATGATGTAAATATTTTATTTTGTTAATCTGAAATATAAATACTTCGTCATACAATATTTTATTTTCAAAAGTAAATTACATTTCGAACAACCTAATACAATATTTCTTTTGGCAAACATACTTTAGACAAAATGTCCCTACGAATTTAATCGGAGTTTCTATATCCCTAGGGAATATACATTTCCCTATATCGCGACAAAGGACTACAAATGATCGTGTAATTCGTCAGGATAGATCTTCGTTGTATAATTTAACGAGCTTGCCCGCAGTTATGGGCCTATATGATCCGCGTTGCATGAAATGTTGGGCATCGGTGTGCCTGGTGTACAGATAGATACTGGGCATGGTAATTGGCGAGGTAGGTATGCAGATACATGCCACATGTATTTTGAACGGATAGGAGAAGAGGGGAGGAACATTGGGGTAGTGGGAGAGAAGGGATGAAGGGATGAAGAGAATCGGTGGGAGAACGGTGGTAGGGATAGTACTAATATACTCACACGTGTTAGCAATCGTGTCCCCAGAATTTGATTGCTCGTGTTGTCTAGAGAATTACGAATCTAACGGATTTACTGTATTCTACACCGTCGAGTAGTATGCATTTGCCCGTACGTTCATAATCTATCGCCAATCGCTATTCAAAAGTAGTACCAACCCTCCATCCCCTATTCTTCTTCCATCGTCCAACTCGATTCCCAAACGACCTCATCTTATTTCGCGGTCTTTTACTCGACTTTTTCCTTGTAAACGCGCACTCTTCTTTAGATTGCCTTCCTCCTCTTTTTCTATCTTTCGATACTGGTAATTGGATTTAAAAGGATCGACGTTTATTGTGAATTTATTGTAATACCGAATTAAATTAGTCCTATTTTTTTTTCTCGACTACTGCTACACCATTCTTTCATGGAAAGAAATACTTGCAGCCTGGGCTGCTGTTTTTTCCAGTTTTTCTTTTTTTTTTTTATTCTAGTACTATCGTGTAATCAGCTTTATAGCGCTTTTAAGGGATAAAGAAGATTGCCAACAATTTCTATCTCTACCTTTGACTTTGTTTCTTTCTTTTTCCTTACGTTGCCTAGTAAGTAGAGTTTAAGTAAAACGTTGTCTATCATGGAAACGACGCGACATTAAAACGGCCCGTTGGGCACCACCTATCCCGTTGAAAGTCGTATCCGGTTTTACGGATGGCGCTTTGCAATCGTCTAAGAATTCGCGCAGCCTGTCTCGTCGATAAAAATACTTTTAAGGAAATGAAATTGATATAAAGGACGGATTGCATTGGGAACACCGTAAAACATCACCGACCTACGTATCAATCTTTTACACATCCACCATTTCGTGGCTATGTTCTAACCAACCAACCATCCCAAATTCTCCCATACTCGCAACGAAATTCTTTGGATTCTCCAACGAAAAACGTAGAAAACTTATGTCGAGGAAGAATATCATCTTTGTTTTAAAACGAATTCGAACAACACAGGTAAACTATGTTCCGTAAAATATTTAATCCGTACAATGAAAGTGTCTTACTTAAATCCTAAATATTTTCCTACAACTATACGAGTAATTTAACGATTATTGTAGATCTATGACAAATTCATTCGTTACCTTTGAAATGATTGAAGTCTGCGTACGCGTGTGCCACAAATCGGTTCCAGGGGAAATTTATTTTTCGATTAATATTTATCGTACTCTATAGTACGATAATCAGCGTTAGGTGGTAAGTGATAAAGCGAAAAATAAAGTAAAAAGAAAGAAAAAATAAAAGCAAACGCGTTGGTAACCTGAGAGAGTCGTGCGAACCTGTACCGGTGGATTGAAAGTTCCCAAGGCTGTCGTTACGTTACTTGCCTCCAAGTATCGTACAAGTTAGGGAGATATATATGTTTAATATATGTGTGCGTGAATGTGCGCGCGTGTGTCTGTATAAAGATGCATAATGGAAAAGAGAAAGACAACGATAACACTCCCCCACACGTATACACCCACGCACACGCATAGAATATACTCGGTAGCCCCCGCCACGTATTTATGAGCTTTCCCTACGCCAGCTGACTTTAAATTGAGTCTACTACTTGGAAACGCCGCGGATTAACTCTGCGACGCATGAATTCTTTAGCGAACGTATTCTCACCGGGGTGCCGCAGAGATTAGCCGCGTTCCTTTTTGCCGTTCGCGCGAGAAAGCTTTCTTAGCCGAAAGATAACAGCGAAAAGAAGAAGAAGAAGAAGAAGAAAAAGAAGAAGAAAGAAATAAAGAAAGGAACGAAGAAACGATAGAAAAGTCCGAGTCCCTTTGCTTCAAAGTAAAGAGGTAAAAAAGAAAAAAATAGATGAAAAGGAGGTTAACGAATTTAGACATTTTCTTATTTTTTTTCTTTTTTTCCTTTTGTTTTCTCTCAGCTCGTTCGCGAGAACGAAAGAAAAGAAAGGAAATAGTTCACAATTTTCGCGAAAACTTGAGATACTAGTTTGGAAATTCAATTGCATCTTCTCTCCCTCTCTTGGAGAAAAGGAATAAGTTGCTATTCTAGAATCTTTCGGAATATGTTTTCGATGCATAGGATGGCGTTAAGTGCAACGTGCACGGGATAGCAATAATGGTCGAGCTGAGATTCTATAATTTTTCCATATACCGTTGGTAAAGCCGATATAAAGGTAGAGGGACACGTAGTATATTTTATCTCACCAAATGGAAAATGCCGAAAGGAATACACGATATTCTCCTCTTCGAACGTTTCTCTGCGAATAAATCATGTGTTTATTTAGCGCTGTGTTTATTATTTTTTATTTTTATCGTAAACCGTAACGAAATTTCGAAGGAACGTGCATGAAGATTATTTCATTTAATAATACGTGCCAATAATAAATCAGTTAATTAATCGATCCAACGATGAGGACGATTCTCCGACGACGATGACGACGATGACGACGACGACGCTTATACGAATAATCTGCAGGATATTATTTCTATATAATATGTTTATTATATTTATTATATTATGTATATTCACAGCTAGTGTTGGTCCAAAGGTTCGATTTGAACCACGTTAAAAATGCATTTCACCCCGGACAATGAGATAATAAGCTATTTCGAAGCATAAACTGGGTGTTTCGGTACGAAGCACCTCGCGTTGTGTTCAAACAACGTGTAATGCAATTCTATGCACCAATGAGCTTTGACTACCCACGATCGTAATTGCTAATTAATTATTACCGACTTTTCTGCATAACAAAACGATCCTACCCGTTTCTAAAATGGAAACGATTTCCTCGATTATTTTGTCCGAAGCGTGCAACCGGAACCGTTAGAGCACACTATGAATCGTTCATTTGCGAATGAATAACGTAATCGTGTGCTCGATGAACGATAGTTTAAATTCCTATTCTCGAAGCAAATATAAACGCATCGTTGAAATAATTCACTTTGTAGTATATTACAATAACTTTTATCGAAATCTTCTATTACAAATTAATACTCTCTCTCTCTCTCTCTCTCTCTCTCTCTCTCTCTCTATTATTCTTTCTTTATATTCTATTTTTTGTACAACTTTTATTTTATTTTCGGCACACGTTGAGAAAGAAATTTTTACACGGGAATTCAACATATCCATTTTCGTGGAAGAACAGGAATTATCGGCTGGGCTCTAGAATCCGGAATTGAATTCAGCAGTGTACGCGGGAACCAATGGCCCGAGGAGAAAGCAAAAGAAGAGAAGAGAAGAGAAGAGAAAAGAGAAAGAAAGAAAGAAAGAAAGAAACGCGCAAGGGTGGCGAACATCGAATGATGTATTACAAGTAACTGCGGCCAATAAAAATTAAGCGTTTTCTTTGCTCCGCGTGATTTGTGGACGATAAATCAAAAGATCGCGTTTCTTTTTCCTAAAGCTATTGCAATTTTAAAGCTAAAAGTGTATACGTACAATAGGTACAATTAAAAATGTCTTAAAAATTGGTAAAAATGTAAAAAAGCAAAGAAAATTGCTAGGAATATTTGGAAAAAGGGAAAAATATCTATATAGACGTAAAAGAAAATGAAGCACGTAGAGTACCGGCAGCAATTTCTGAAATTCATCAGGAAACGCAATATGTTCGCTTTGGGGCGATAATCGGATCGATCGTACACGAGGGATGACTTTCCTGCCGAAAAGGAAATTGGTCGTTAGTTATTCCACCTGCTTCTCTCACGGCAGGAAACAATTAGAAATTTGCAAGCAACAAAACCATTCCTCGTTCATTACTATGATTTTCGTTGGACGACCGAGTTTTCCTTCCAAGAACGACAGCACAAACGAATAATACTACAACAAAAAACAGAAATACATATATCATAGATGCATGCGATTCCTTCTTTAATATATTTTTATCTCTCATATTTGCGTTAAACAATTTTGATTTTCCAAATAAATAAACGATGATTTGGAGAACATTAAAGTTAAAAATACAAAGGGAAAACATTTGTGCTCCTAAACGGACAAACAATTGCAATTAAAATCTAAATTAACAGAGAGGAAATTACGATTAATGTTGAACGCAGAAAGAGTTAAAAATATATTAAATAAATAATAAAATAATTACATTTCTCTGTTAATTGGAGAGATACAAATAAAATGAAATTGTATAAATCAATAAATGGAATTCCTTCTTTTTTTAATATACATATTAGTAAATATATTGGATGCTTTATAAGCATTTTGCTTTATGAGTTCGTAATTTTTATAATGAAAACTTTTCTTTAATACTATAATGCCACCTCTTAAGATAGAACTGAATTTGCTTACATACCCTGTTTTACCTCCATCAGGCACCTCCATCGAGCATCACCATCAAGCATCATCTATCGAATACCATCCATCGAACCAAACTATTTCCGCGAACATTACCAACAGTAAATAGACACTGAAAATAGAGATTCAAATTTGTATTCACTGCACTTTAAAAATGTACACTAAAAGTTATCTATATGTACATTTTGACAAAGATAAAGAAAGTTTAATCACCAGTAACACGCATTAAGATTAACGCGTCGAACTTAACTAACTAAAGAACTTAATTTCCGAACAAAAAAGAATCTTACTTCCGCTAGAACTTTATTGGTTGTTTTTTTCCGTGGTAATATTTAAAAGGTTACTATATATAGTTGTATCCCAATCGTAATATGATTTCGTTAAATGCCTTTTTATGTGCTACTTTAGTATTAATTTTTTACTATATAAGCTAACTAAATCAAAATATGATTAAAAATAAAAGAAAGGAAAATATAAGAAAAATTTGTAAGTGTAGTACTTCGTTCTATTAAAAAAAGTATAGATAACATTCTTTAAAGTGCACAATATACAGACATCTGGATCTGATTGTGAAAATATATATAAATACATATATATGTATACATATGTTTTGCTCATTACGAAACCAATATAAAAATGACAAGTGAACCTGTTAAACCCTTAATTTGGAATTGTGAACGAGTCTTAGGGACCGGAGGTTTTGGTATTGTAAAATTATGGGTTCAGAAAGAAACTGGTCGAAAACTAGGTAAATTAAATAAATAGTAAAAGTTGGATCAAGCACTTTGTTTAAATTAATTAATTAGTATATAAAATTATAATTTATTAATTTGTAGTAATAATTTTTTGTTAGCAATAAAACAATGCAAATGGGACGATACACAATTAACAGCAATACAGAAAACTCGATGGGCCAGAGAAGTTGAAATAATGAAACGTCTAATACATCCTAATATTGTAAAAACAATGCATGTTCCATTTAAACTAGATGAAGATAAAAACATGCCTGCATTATGTATGGAGTATTGTACAATGGGTGACCTTAGAAAAGTATATATTTTATTATATCTATGCTTGCCTATGCGATACTTTAAGGTTAATTATTACTGTTGGATCCTTTACTTTTTCATTTTTGCCAGGTCCTGAATAAAGGAGAAAATTGCTGCGGTATTAAAGAAATGGATACATTAAAAATAATAAGCGACATTTTATCTGCTGTAAAGTATTTACACTTGCATAATATTACTCATCGTGATTTGAAACCAGAAAATGTAGTTTTACAAGCTGTAAATAACACAGTAAGAGAGAGTGTATTATTTATTTAATCTTGTAGAAGAGAATTTGTTAGAATCTTCCCCCACAATATTTATAATATATATATATATTGTAGGTTTTATATAAATTAATAGACTTGGGATATGCTAAAGAAATTGGAGAAGCCAGTATATCTGCGTCTATAGTAGGCACATTGAATTATGTAGCACCAGAACTTCTTTGTAATGAAAGATACAGTTGTTCTGTTGATTATTGGAGCTTAGGAATACTTTTTTATGAAATAATAACTGGAAAAAGGCCATTTTTACCTAGTATGCCGCATACAGTGGAGTGGTAAGTATCCCTACAAAATAACTACAAAAAATTTATAAATGTGTTATATTACTAACTTATGTAGGATGCAAATTATTAAAAATAAATCCATTGATGATATATGTGCTTATGAATGCGATGGAAAAGTATTATTTAGACAAGATATAGAGGATCCAATAGATCTATCCAGGTAAACACGTTATAAGACAAGTTAATTATATATAAATGAATTAAATTTAACTTTTATTATGATTTCTTTTCTTTTATTTAATAGTTATATCAGGTCTTCTATGGTAAAATGGTTTAAAATTGTCCTTCAATGGGATCCTAAGAAACGGGGTAAACAATTAGATGTAAACGGGATACCTCAATTAGAAGTCTTTAAATTACTTGAACCAGTTCTATCGCAGAAGGTATTTTTAAGTAAGCAACAATTAAAAATGTGAAATTTTTCTTTTATTTTATTTTTGGTTTCATTTTTTAATTTTATATAAATGCCAGTAATAGAATTAAATTTTCTTCAAATGATTTTGTTTCTATTTTTTACAGATTTTATATGTGTATTCTATGTACTTATATAAAATTTTTACATATATAATTGATAACAACACCACTCTTTCAAAATTGCAATTAATTATAGAAAAAGATGTAAATATTTCAATTAATCAACAAATATTAACTGATTATTATGGGAATATCCTCTGCGATGACGTACCAGTTCTTGCACAAATTGACGTACGTATTAATATAACATATATAGTAATATACGAGATATTATTTAAAAATAATTTTATTAATTTAGAATTCAATGTTATTTGTTCTGCAAACTGAAAATATATTAATAAACGATATACCTGCACTAAATATACCTTTCCTAGCACAAAAAATGATAGAGCAATCAAAAAGTAAGCTAGGTTTTGAAGTAATAAATGATTATTATCGTGTGACCATATTCATGATGAAGCAGGAATTGCAACTTTTCAAGTTATATATTTTTTCTTTGTCTATAGAAATGTAAGTTCATTCTTATCTTTTTAATCTTTATCTAACAATTGTTAAATGTCTATAGAAATGTATGCAATGCAATAGTCTTATAATAATATGATATTTATTTATGATATTTCAGAGACATAATAAATGCTAGACTTGTTAAGTTTGAAACATGCATAAAAAATACATTACAAAGTACAAATTTATTAGCTACAGAAGTGAATTCTTTTCAAACTCTTCATATCGATCAAAAAACAAAAAGAGACAAAATTGAAGCTTTAGAAGAGAATTCTAAAAAGGTGAACAAATTATTAACTGCTGCTAATCAAATACGGTTAAAATTTACCAATTTAAACGAAGATAGTAATGTATTAAAAAGCATTATCCTAAACATTTCAATAGAAGTTTTAAATGAAACGTAAGTAAAATTATATGTTCATTTTAATGCCATATGAAATATTTTTATTACATTTTTGTATAGATATGACAAAGCCTTAAATATATATGAGACTTTTAAAAAGGCTTTTAATCGTTCTGAGACACCAATAAAAATGGTTAAGGTACTTTTTGAATTTATGAGATTACGAAAAACACAATTTGATGAAAACAAAATCGTTCAACTTGTCAGGTATTATGTCTATTTAGAAACATTTATTATTGTAACTATTTTTCTTCTTTTATCGAATCTCGTAGTCATAATTTGTATTATATATATATAATTTATACATTAAAAATCCTTTTACAGCCAAATAAATAATTTGAAATATGAACTTTTGAAATTAGAAGGTTCATTCAATTCTGTAATAGTCATGACAAAAAAATATCAAGACGACTTGCATGCTATAATAAAGGAAGATTCAGATAGGGAATTACCATCTGAGTGTAATAAGTCTATAGATTGTCATGACAATTTAATATATGAAAATTTAATAGTGCGACATACGTGAGTTTATTTTACATTATTTTTAATTAATATTTATTTTTTGCAATATTTTTATAAATTATGTTTATTATATAGGATGGACAATCTTATTACAGAAATAGAAAAAATATATCAAGAGATAGTAAGTCTTGATTCATAAAATCAAAGATAAATTATGAATTATAAATTATATATACAGGATGAGTTAGTTAACTGTCTCATGGCCGGGACGTTCGTCTGAATTAAATTGCATAAAATCTATTGAACCAAATGGCATATAATCTATTTTATATTTACTTCTTTGGCAGTTCTACCAAAAATGTATAAATCCTTACAAATTTATTTATCCTTTCTAACTTAGATAAAAAAGATTAGTTAGTATTACTGAAATAGAAAAGAAATATAATATATANTATATATTATATCCTTATATATATGTATATTATTATGTTATTGTTGCCATTAAAAATTATATACAATGCATATTTTTTTATAATGTACACAATAAATCTTTTATATATATAGTTTAAAGAATACGATTTCCAAAACGTAAGAGTTTACCTAATATAATAATTATTATATGAAAATAAAATTACTAATATAATTATAAAATACATAATTGTATATACGATTAAAACATTAAAGATTAAACAACAATCTTAAAATAAATATCATGTTCTTTATTTGCTATTACTTTCTCGTAATTGAGAAATATTACACACCATACTAGTTCCTAGATTGTCCACATACATCAACGATTATGCAATTCCATGTATAAAAGACAAATGTACATTAACTTAACCAGTAAAAAAAGAGAAGAAGTGAGGATTTTTAGAATATCCACTCATCCGATCACATAAGATAAAAAGACATTACTCATTATCACTGATGTCTTCATCAGTTGTGAACTCGGAATGTTCATCAGCTGCATCCACATCCTCTGCAGTTTCTTCATCTGAAATATCCCATTGAGGATGCTCTGTTGGTATTTCGGGAGCTTCTTTTACATCCAGCTTTAAAGTATATTAATTTAATATAATTGGATGGATCGATTACAAAAATTAATTTATTCAATATAACGTACCTTAATATCTTGTGCTTGATCAAACCCAAGATATGAATCACTACGTAAGCATACGGTAAATGTGTATAATCCCGGCCAACGTGGTGCTGTAAAACGCAATTGTACCTCCTCCGATTGTGCTAAAGATGTTACGTGTACTGGAGTTGTCAGTAAAGTCTGACTTTTACGATCACAGATATAAACCCACCAGTATTCTTGTTTAACATCAGGAAAAAGTGGACAATGTACTTCGTGTGATAAATTACTTCTTCCTTCTAAAACTCTTTCTCTTTTTGAAATTCTTTGTTGAAATCTATAAACAATTAATAATATGAAACATATGTTTATATTTATAAGTGAAAATAATTTCATAACAGTGTTAGAATTTTTGAATTAAGTATTTACATGATTTATTATAATATAAGTCATTACCTTTCCCACTCTGTATCATCATCATCAATACCTATATCTTTCTTATCATTACTGTCTTCATCATCACTTCTGTCGCTATCAGCTTCACTGTCACTAACATCAGATTTTTCTTTGGAAGACTCTTTTTCTATTTTGTCTTCTTTCTTTTTTGTGTTTGGTGTATTACTTTGCTGTGTATTATTATTACTCTGCTGTGTTGTCTGTCCTTGAGCTTGTATATTTTTTACAGTGGCTGTTTTCTTATTGGTACCTTTTTTATGAGGTTTCTTTTGACCCTTCTTTTGTCTAAGCCATGCAGGTTTCTTCACAGACTGACTTTGTTCTTCTAAACCTTCATTGCTTGTTGCTTCTCCACTAACTTTAATGTCATCTATCATAGTTTGTTCTTTAACAGTCTCATCGCCAAACAAATGTTTCATATCTTTGCGTGTTAATGATACTGTTACTGTTACTATTGCACCAGCAGTATACACTGTTGGATTTTCGTCATCAATTACTGAAATTTCAATAAAACATTAATTAGTTTCATCGAATAACAATATTATCATTATCTATCGAGAACGATTGTTTTACCTTCAGATCGTACTTTGAATTCTATGTATGGCATATTTCCAAGGACTTTCATAACATCTTCATATTGACTGTCGGTCAAGTTTCTAAGAATCAGTCTTCTTTCCTCTCCTTTTAATTGTGCAAATTGTTGAAGGCTCTTAATTTGGCGCTACCAAGTATATAAAAAAAAACTCAATTGTTACATTTCATTACATTTACAAAAAATAAACACTAAAATAATATCAGTAATTACCTTTTTGGCTAGAAAGTATTTTAAATTATCTTCGGAAATATGTGGAAGTTGAAGAAGAGGATTTTTAAATTCCCAGAATGCTTGAACAATCATTGGACACAGTTTCATACAATTTTCTATAGTTTTTATACTGGGTACTCGTGGAACTTGAAAAAAATGTATTCACTTTTATAAAAATAACTTTGGATAAATGAATTAAAATTATTTGACACATATACGTATATACATAATATATACCTCGTTTTGCATAAGCTAGAAAAATTACTTGATTAACACATGCAACCATTTCTTGGATTAAATATGGACATTTCTTTACAATATACTGTCTATCTTTATCTAATGTTTCCGGATTTAATGGTATACGTGATAAATGTGCATGAAGTAAAGCTCTAGCTTTTATTGAATACAGATGACATAATGGTATTTCTTTATTTTTTTCTCCTAAATTAGTTATTTGCTTAATAAGCTGAAAGTAATAAAAAATATTGTATGTAAAATATAAATCAAACCTTAAGTTTATAAAAACCTTACCGAAGGAACTTCTTCAATATCCGTATGTCTTTCAATTATTTCTGCATTACGTTTCTTACAGAACTCAAAGGACGCAGCAAGAATCATAATAACTCTCTTTAAAGTCATTGATGGAGTTTTAATAAAAAAGTAGTAATATGTTTCAGTTGTAGCCAATAAAACCTGAAAAATTGTATTTTTTGTTAAATATATATAGTACTTTCTACATGTACTGCTTACATTACAAATTTTTATCTGATAAAGTTAGTTTTTATATAAAATAGAATTACTTGATCTCCTGTATAACGAATACTTTTATACCACCATGTTCCAACAACTGTAGGTAAAGCTACCATAAAAACCAATGCGTATAAACCTAAAACCCAAACTGAATTTTCTTTTTCAACTATCCAAGAAGGCAAAGCAATTCCAAAGCTCATTGCACCTGGACCATCTGGATTTCCATATTTTTCCCAATTTTTTCGTGCTTCATCATCCGTCAAAGCCTGATAAGCTAATTGTATATTAACAGATTTAATTGTATATTAACTTGTATATTAAAATTTTTGTTAAATCTTATGTTAAATTTTGTTAATATAACATGTACTATATTATAAGCTTATATGTAATATATGCATGCTATAATGATACATATTGCGACATTAATTAAAGATAATCGTTTTTTATTTTAATGCATTTTATATACCAACCTTTAGTTAACTTCATAAATGCTTTTTCATTTCCTGTTTCCTTATCTGGATGTAATATCAATGAAAGTTTACGATATGCCTTTTTAATCTCACCTTGTGATGAACCCTTAATGAGAATATGATTAATAATTAAATTATCTCACATTAAACATGTATCTTATACATTATCTATACTTACAGGAGAAACTCCCAGTATTTCAAATGGATCAAAGTTTGCCATTTCATAATCAAATTGAGATACTTTATAAGCAAGTAAAATAAGAATAATCCATCCCAAAATAATCAAAAACTTCCTATAATAATATATAGATTATTATAATATCGATTATATATCTTATACATACTTTTTATCTTACATTAAATAATTTCATTATAAAAGAGACATAAAACTTACGTAAACAATGCCTTAGTTTCTTTCCAAGGTTCATTCGATTGTAAAATGATCTTTTTCTTCTTACATTCATCGCACTGACATTCTTTTGAATCTTTATCCGGATCTATATAAAAAACAAAATATAATTTTTAACAGTCTCTTTCTCATAATTTAATTACAAATATGTCAATAAGCTTTAAACAATATGTTAATTCATCAAGACTATACATGATACAATAAATATATTTCATGGAAATAAAATTGAATCATTAAATTTAACGCGTGAAATAATTGTTAATTTAGCAATCATGCATAGCGTATCTTGTCAATAACGTTATTGTTCTATATTAAAGTAAAAGTAATCGAGGAGAAAAATAAAGTATGATAAAACGTATCATTATATTACTTCATAAGTCTAATAAATTTTAAACAAACTGGTATATGTATACTCTAACCTTGTTTGGGGCAACGTGGCCATAGATAATACGTTCCGGGTATCAAGAGAAGTGCCAAAAATGAAAGCAGAAAATAGAAAAACGTCCCTCCGCTTTCGTCATATTGAAATTTCTGTCCGCTCATAGCTCATTAAATACAAATATTTAAAATAATTGAGCTACACTTTGAATTCACCGTTCCATCATGTACATCATTAGAGTGTAACATTTATCTTCATCAAGAGTGCCAACTCAGCATAGACCGCGGATGAATAATTTTAAGTCCGACATACAATAGACGTTTGTAGTGACGTTGACGATTCACTAAAAATGAGAATACTTGTCATTCTTCCTACCAGTTTTTACCGTTATTTTTTACTCTTTCTTTTTTTTTTATTCCTTCCCACTTTTTACGAAGTCCTCTTTCTCTTTCTCTCCCACCCCCTCTCTTTCTTTTCCACCCCTCGTTCACTCACTCTCTCTCTCTCTCTCTCTCTCTCCCTCCTTAATTATAAAACTACTACTTCTTTCTTATTTATAATTGTACTCTCTCTTTTTACTATAATAAATAATAATATATCTTGTTTTCTTGTTTTACGTTAATATTAAGCCAATGTTTATACACATGCAAAGTGAGTTATATAAAATACGGCTTCAGGCATTCCACAAATAGATTTTTACAATATTTTACATTTAATTAAATTATTTAAAAATAACGGCGCTGCAGCAATTTCCGTGGTGCTACACACACACACATATTTATTCTTAATATTAAATGTAATATTAAATATAAATAACATTTATGTTTATATTAAAACACAAATTTTTTCTTAAAAAAAAAGAATTTATTCTTAATATTAAATGTAATATAAAACATAAATCACATGTGGATAATATTAAATTTATAACGCTTCCAGTATCTTCCTCTTAGATGTAAATTATTTATTAAATAAATGATTTAAACAATTATTGATTTTTCTCTCTGCATATTTATATGTAAAAGATTAAATCCTATCTTACTCATCTATATATTCTTTTTCAAATTTCTTAAAATCTTCCTCTGTAAACGCAGTACTTTCTTGTTTCTTCTTCTTTTTTAGTTTTTTAGTATGTCGTTTCTCAACAGCTCGGTTTAAAACCTGGAATATATGAGATAATAACATCTAAAGTTACTCATGAAAATTGAGAATATTCATTAAATATAAATATAATTTTATATTATTATATTTTTATATATATATACATCTAAACACATTCACTTCTACATGATTTCAATGTTTCTTAATATTCCATACCTTGTCAACCGTATGCTTGTCCAAATGATTACTACTTAACAATAAAAGATTCTGTACGTTCTCTTCAGTTAAATCCTTCTTTGACTCTAGTTGCTTTTTGGCTTCATATATATTAATTTTTTTAGACCAACCAAAAATATTGTTGATATCTACACACAAAAATATAATAAATGTTCAATAAAAAATTGCTGCTATTGTAAATATTAGGAGGCTTGGTTTTAAAAGTTAGATATAAATTATCATCTATTCTATAAAATAAAACACAATCTGGAATCCAACTTCTACCCAAAGAAAGGTGGATAAAGTTTTACCAAGGGCAAATACTTTAATAAATGTATTCAGTCATTTTGTTATTGAAGTAAATGCATATATAAAGCAAAGAAACGGCGACAATGTTACAAACCTCCTAATAAAATAAATCAATATAAAATAAATACACAAAATAATCAACATATTACCTGTTTTCTCTTTGGAAGAAATAATTCTATGCTTAGCAGGAATTAATTCTAAAGTTCCTTTGTAACCGTCATGTTTATTCTTCTTCTTCTTATTTTCTGTAAACACAAATTGCATTTAAATTCCATGTGTTTCATATTAAGTTTTATATGTATAACCTATAAATATGATAAAACTTTACCTTTCTTGAAATCATTGTATCCGGACAATTCGAGACTTTTCCGAACAAGTGAATTGGACATGTTATCATTAATTCTTTTCTACAAATTTATTATCAATTAATAGTAACGATTAATATATACATATCAACTCAATTTAACTAAAACGGTTAAGCACGCGTTCTCGCGTAAGATGGATACATATGTCCTACCAAAGAATACAGAAGTACATAGAAGCTCACAAGTCCACTTTTCCCGTAACAAAAATTATCTTGGATAGTACCCTGACCATCAGTGGGCGAGCATAGGTACGCGATGACAGTATAATACTATCAAAGAATACAATATTCCTTGATAGTTATGATTGTATATGATATATCCTTTAATAGTATATATAGTTTAATTATATTTTATTAAAATTGTAAATAATTATATTCAATTTTTAGTGTATAAAAATGTGTGTGCCTTCAGAAATGCATTTATAAATATATTTGTATTCTTTGGTCCTGTTCACAAACTACTACATGTCATAGACAACGAATCTAGAAAGAAAGAAAATCAAATGGGAAGTGCATGATTAATATTATTTTGGTTAAGAAATTGTCCATAAATTTATTTTTTATTTCCCAAAGAAGGACAAATGTATGTATTATTTACGTGGTAAAATATATATGTATATATTTATATAAAATTGAAAGATATTTGCAATATCGATTTTAATTGTGTATATGACAGAAAATATACAAGAACGTATAAATTGAAATTAATAGTAATTGGTAATACAAGTTCTTGATTAATGAATATTTGAGTGTACAAAATTTTAATTATTTACTTGTATATTTATTCTGTTTTGCTTCCTTTTTTACAGTATTCAAAAATACATCCCACGTAGATGTAATTTTGCAAAAGAAGAATGGTGAAAAGAGATCTTAGAGCTACAATTAATATATTTTTATCTTTTCTATATTAACAATTGTGTTTAAGTTCATTTGAATAAGTTATAAGATTAATTATGAATATCTGTCAAATGTTCTTGCCTGCGGTAACTTTGTAAACTTGAACTTTTTATGTGCCTTATGATAAAAATTTGGTTGTTAAGATTTGTATGTGCTGTAAATTGATTGTATGCAGAAAACGTTATCATTTCAATTGCATTTAAATCAATTGAGAATGAAGTAATAAATAAGCTAACATAAATATAAAATGTCAATCAGCGACCATAATAGAGGCAAACATATATTGATATTTACTTCGATAATATTTTTTTATTATACTTTATGGATCATCGGTTTGCCTTTCATTGATGACGATAGATTGCAATCTTTTTTTTATCCTCAGCATTTAGCTTTATTAATACCTGCAGTTTGTGGTCTATGTTTTGTCGGTGGTTTAGTAATTTTTACGCTATATCATATAAAACCGTATATTTGTAAGAAAAATAAATAAAAAAAAAAGATTGCAATGTTAATAATCAATTATTGAGAGTGATAATTATTCAGTATAATAACAATATATAACATAAAAATATACGAGCAAAAATTATTATTATTTAATATTACAGTTATTACGGTATTCATATGCAATTATAGAAAAATTTGATGTATTAAGTTTATTATACATTTATTATTTGTTAGTTATCGTGTAATAAAATTATCTGACAGTTAAACATTATAGTAATCTAACATTAAAGGATTTTGTAAAGTTCATATGTTATATTTTAAGTGTCAATGATGGATAGCAAAGACTGGTTAATAATTGGAATTTCAGGAGTAACGTGTAGTGGAAAGACAATGTTAGCCAAAGAACTGCACAAAAAATTAAGCGGTTCTATTTTAATACATCAAGATAATTATTATTTACTTCCTAATGATCCAAGGCACATCAAAATTGCTGCTTTGAATCATATTAATTGGGAGATTTTATCTAGCTTAGATATGGACAGAATGTATTCGGACATTAAACAATTGCTAAATTCTATACCAAATGATTTGAATAATGCTGGAAAGAAGTCAAAGCAAATATTAATATTAGAAGGTTTCTTATTGTTTGGGTATAAGCCGATCTCAGATTTATGTCAACTTAAATATTTTCTTACATTGAACAAAGATGAGTGTTTCAAACGTAGGTGCATCAGAACATATGATCCTGCCGACGTTCCAGGATATTTTGAAACAGTTGTTTGGCCAGAGTATTTAAAACATCTATCAACAATAATGCAAGATGAAAATGCATCTACAGAGCTAATATTTGTTGATGGAACGATGGAGAAAGATGAGACGGTTCAAATGGTTTTAACAAAAATTCAAGATTTGTTATCTTAAGCAGACTATTATTATTTAAAAGAAAGGCTTGTAAAAAGAAATTATTTTTCTGCTACAATAAATAATAATAAGACTATTGTACTTTATTATAAAGATGGACCAAAAGAAAAAGAAAAATATAATTCTATGTAAAGTTTAAGACAGAATTACACACAGAGATTAATGAAAAATTTTAAGTTTATATTTTTATTATTAAGCACAAAATCGTTTGTGTAACAGTTAATTTACTGTTACATATTATTAAGGATATTTCATGCTTTTTAATTTTAAATTTGAAACGGTTAATATAAAAAAAGGTTCATTTTCACTTTTTCGCAGTAAAAAAAATATATTACTTACCTGAAACTTTGAATTTGTTTAATATATGAATGTATATTAAAAAAAAATATATAAATATATTTGTAAATTGCTCAAAAGAGAAATAATATAACTAAGATCGCACTATTAAGTACTAAGTTTTTTAAACACATATTTATACATTTAGAAAGCTGTACTATTTCAATAATTTATTAAGTTTGCCTTTTAGTTAAAAATGCTCATGTATGAAACAGCGTGTGTGATTGTGTGTATTCTTATTTTTTTCAAAACAATATGATCTCTTGTGGATAAAATACCACGATATTTTAATTTATTTACTACGTAATTTTACTTATAAAGCCTGTTTTAGATATTAATTTTTTATAAATTTTATATGCAAATATTAAAACAAACTCAATAATAATTATGAGATAAAGCATATTCCAATACATTGGTAACTTTTTACAGATAAGGTACTACACTTTCATTATTATAATAATTATTATTGGTATTATTATAATATTAATATTATTATTTTACGCTCGTGTTTTTATTATACGTTATTTTTCAAAGTGCGTTTCACAAGTATGAGAGTCATATTACTATTACGAAAAACTCTAGAATCGATGAACTGCGATTAGTTTTCAGCCTTAATTTCTTATCGTTTAGAACTTTACAAGTTGTTAATCGTAGTCTTGGAATCTTTGTACAAAATAGATTACTTTAGACAAATTTCGACAGATTTGAAATATTTTACCCAAAACAGGCTTCAAAATGTACTTGTGCTTGGCCTTCAACAAGACTTATTTCATTAATTTCCTTCTTTTTTAATAAAGATAATACACAACGACGTATGTATGTTACACAGAGTAAGAGTTATGTTTCAACTGAGCTTGACCATTTGTGACATTTGTGGGTCCAACTGTTTGATCGTCCTGTTCGTTTTGACCGCAAGTTTTTCTAACATATTGTGGCGTAAGAACAACTTCCTCTTCCATCTCGAGCACCCGTTTATCTAATTCTGCACAAGTTTGCATCTCTTTCTCGAGTTTGGCTAACATTTGTGGTGAGTTATATTTTTCCGGATCGTCGTGAAATACTACCATACCATCTTTCTGATTAATAGTCGCAAAAATTTCACCATCCTCTATCTAGAATCAAAAAGTACGTACCAAAAATATAAATTGTTGAATATATATATTATACGATTAAAAAAATGTTAATAAAATGTAGAATTTACCATATTTAAAATATATTTCTCTGCATCTGAAGGGCCAGCCAACTGAACTCTACTTGCAACGTCGCTTAAACTAAGTGTCAAGAAAGTTTTAGTCAGCCTCTGTATATTTTTTTTGTACAAAAAGCTGAGGACTTGCTTAACTAATCCCGAATTGTGCTCCCTCTCAAAAAGTTCTTGGTATTTTCTAATGATGTTTAGCAAATCTTCGCAATTGTTAGTTAGGTAAGCTGTCGCTAATTCTTGATATGGTAGACTTAACTGTTTGATGTACCTATTAACTACCTGACTCGTGTACCTAGGTAAATTTAAGATCTTTCCGTGCAATATTAAAGAGACCAGAATATATTTCTTATAGGCCTCTAACATAATATGACTGACAGCCATAGCAGGAGTCGTTACACACACTTCAAAGAAATATAATGCACGGTCATAATTTTTCAATGCTGTATATATCATACCACCATAATAATAATAAAGTAAAAAAAACTTTGAATCAAATTGTCCACCTTCCTGGCTAATACCAGTAACATCAATATCAAGAAACTCAAGCGATGGCTTAAAACACTTAGACAAAAGGCATAATTGGCAGAGATCGGCATGTATTGAAGTTAGCTGACTGTCAAACAGTTGAATCTTACGTATAGCTCTACGCAGTAATTCTATACCACGTAACGGCACTTGCAATTCAACTAAAATTTGAGTTAGTAAATGACATAGTTCCGCATCTACAAGAAAAAACAATATTTGATTTTAAATCTTACACAATATGTTTTACTTCTAAAGCAAGAATATACAATTAGTATTAAAAAAAAGAATTATTAATGCTGATGTGAATAAAAAGAAATACTTTTTTTTCAATATAAGCTTACATGTATCGGGTGCAAATTGAATTTGTTCGCTGTTGCACCCTATGATAAATTCTTGGACCTGACTGAACAATGGCTTATAAGAATCAAGATCATAACTACCGCTGGGATGAGGCAATGAAAATTTAACGCATAATACTGCCAAAATCCCAAGGGAGTGTTGCTGCAAATCCAACGTTTCCAATACATTATCTAGGTGTTGTCCATTTTTCATTAATACTTCGGTACTCTTATTTATAACATCATATAATTCCCGAAAGTTACCTAAAGTAAAGAAACCGATAGAACCCATTCATTATTATTCCTTTATCTATTCTACCTATGCACATACATATACCTACACATAGACATATATTATTTATAAAATAATCGTATCAGTTCTATCAAAAAGTTATTAATAAAAGTAGTAAGTTTGGCCTAATAATAATCAAAGCAAATTTTTATCTGTAGAAAAGCTCATAATATAACTCTTATTCATAATATAACAAAAAATGTTGAATAAATGAATGAAATATCGCTTAATTAATGACACAATTAACATAGATTGTTTTAAAAATAGGTTAAATGAATGATATTGTAATATGAAAATGATACATATGTAGAACAGAAAAATATGTAGTGGATATTGTTTATAGGTTATATTATCATCCATCAAAGAAAAAGTCACACATTTTGATTTTACCTTGCTTTGAAAGCGTCCGCACATTATTTACAAATTGCTCTAATGCCGTCGCCATTTCTACAAATGTCTCGTTATCATCACCACCCGTGAAACGGTGGTGATCCGTGTATTTACAAGAATATTATTTTAGCCAGTAAGTAATAGCCAAGATGACGTTTTGAAACGGACGACTAGGGCTAACTGGAACACTCTGAAGCACGTTGCAATGTTAAGTTAGTTGCATTGCGAAAATCGAATCTGTTACATGATGCGAATATCTTTTATCGAACTTCAAGACTGTTGCCGGTTATCTCTCTTATTATTTATGTACTATGTAATACCAACAATTGGAAAATGTAACGAAATACTAATTTTTCTCTAAATTTTAATAAAATTATTGAAATTACGATTTAATTTATATTAACATTTTAAACTTACTTTGTTCTATCTGTTAATCTTATTATCAATATAAAGGGTGTATCACAATATTTTCATTGTAATATTATACAAAGTTCAACAAAATTATTACGAAAGTTTCATAATTTTATTGGATGACAGTTGTATAGTAAAAATAATTTTATTTTTCTTGCTAAGGGTTAACGATTATACAATTTAATTTTTTAAAATCAAATTGTGTATTTTATTTACTTATAAATGACAGCCATTTTTAAAATAAAATTCAACTACCGATAACTGTATATTTCAAGGTCAACGAAGGTCATGTAAACAAGATTTTTTTGTTCTCTTATACCACTAATTGTAAGACATTTAAAAATTCAAAAGAAATGTACTTATAATTAATATCACAGCCTGCATATTTAATATTTTATTTTTTTTATTATTATAATTTTTAAAATATTTTTAAGACAAGTTTTAATAATTCAAATTTTAGAATACATTTTTGCACAATAACTATAATTATTAATAACGATTAATAATTTATTCACAAATATTTAAAAATTGTTTTTCTTTTTTATATACTTTGTTGTTCTAAATAATGTAATTTTTATAAATAATAAATTGAATCATGGTAGAAATAAAGCTATTTGAATTTCTTTGTAGTTCGATTTTGCACCGCTTGAAGACATCACCTATTCTATTGGTAATTACGAGTACTATCTTTTACTTACCGTGTTTTCCTATTACTGAACTTCGTTTTCATTAAAATATGTTTTGTTATTCTTATTTTTGATATTGCAGTAAGAAAAACCAACTGCAAATGTAGCTTATTCAATATTAAATTTTGAAATAATACTCGACAATAATTTTTGAAAGAAAATAATATTATTCTCGAGAGTTTACGAAATAATCGAATTTTTCTAAATATTGTTATCAATATTTTTAAATTATAAATAAAAGAAAAATGTATCTATTACTTTTTTTAAGCCAAGGATCTTATTTCAACTTAATAATTAGAATTATTTATTGAATACATTTTACTTACGAAAGACTTTATTTGTATGCATGATAAGATAATACCCATTAAATTTAAATTACAAATATTCCTCATTTTCTATCTAAAATTTTAATTTGATAAATTATGTAATTGTCTATTAATTATATATGCATTAGTTAATATCGTTATTTAAATTCAGTACAATTTATTCTAATTTATTTTAGTTGTTTTCAGTTTCACCTGTCAGCACATATAAAGAAACTACAATAGTAAGTCAAATTACAAGGTTTGGCTTACCTATATTTTAATCTTTTTCAAATATTATTATTAATATTACTAAATAATATTTACATTGATCAAATAATATATATAAAAATAAATATTCCTGTATAAAAAAAAAGTAATAAAGATATAAGTAAAATATATGACACACGTAGGTCAACTTAAATTTTTACGCGCGAAATTCAAAAAATGACGCAATTGGACACGCGAATGAATCATAATGCTTTTAACGATCAAACAATCTCTAAGGCAAATAAAACTGTATGCGTTTTCCTTTCGAAGTATTAGTTGTAATTTCAAGTCTTTAATTAGAAGCCTCGTGTTAGTTAGATTTAATTAAAAGTATCGAAAGATTTGTGGAAAAAATAAGAGTAAAAAAAGAACAAATAATGTCGAATGCAATGTACAACGAATTTTGGAAAGAGACACAAAACACATTAGATGAATTAATACGCGCAGATTCGTGTTTGCAAAATTCAAAACCACAAAAAGATCGAAATAAAGCACATCAAATTGTTTCGGAATTGTATGTTAAATACATCATTGTTTGCAACAAGTTAGAAGAGTGTTACGATCAAATAATTCAACCACAAAAACGTATCCTACTTAAGAAATTATTAGACTCAGTGATAGGAAGAGTTTTAGAATTGAAACATGAATTGGTAAACGTTGATCTTTCTGAACATAGTTACTACGATGATATATTAATTAAATATAGCGTTACTCCAGAAGATGTTGAAATTCGAATACCGAGATACTTTACGAGAGAACGTCAAAAGGAAATAGACGATAGACGAGAATTCATAGAAAATACTTTGAGAAATATTGGTTTTCTGGATGAGATTGTTGTATCCAAAACGATGAGCGAATTAGAAGCTGTGAGATTAATTCAGGTAGAATAAGAAACTTTTTTTTAAATATGACTTTTATATTTTAATTTTATTTATTATTCGTTATAATAACATTTACATGATAACGTATGCTTTTCATATTAATAATTTCTCGAGAAAATAAAAATAAAACGAAAAAAGGGGAAGCTGTGATAGAAGGGGTGGAAGGGGTGGAAAGGGTGGAACTTCAAATTTTATCAATATTGATTTTAAACTTTCTCTTCAATATATTTAATTAAAAATATAAAATATTAATTTATTTACAAATTATTTATATATTATATAATAAAATTATTGTAGGCTCAGGAAAGAGCAAGACAAGGACGAATAAGATTCCAATTTATGAAGGAAATACGACAAATGAAAGAGAAATCAATGGTTAAGCAAGAGGCAGAGGAAATAGATCAGGAACACATTGAAGCTGCTGCGATAAAAATTCAAAAAATTTGGAAAGGTTATAGAACTCGACGTTGGATTCGAAAAAGACGATTAGACGAAATGCTGCTGATAGGTTCCATATTTCCTGTTGTTTCTTTCTTTTATTTAAAATCCTTTAATTATTCCTCTTTTAAATTAATATAATTTCGCTCGGGGGCAAACCAGCAACTCGAGACGATTTTATACGAAAAATACACGCGTACTTTTTTAGGTATGCTCCCGCCTAACGAAGTATCGATGGAAAATATTCGGCAAACAAATAAAATTATACATTATCGTCATGAAAAGCAGATAAAATTTCGAGAAATCTATGAAAAATTGATAAATGAGATTACGGAAAGAATTCGCAAAGAAAGGAGTGGCGTTATGGAAGAGAATATTAGAAGCGAAATTCGAAACTGGATAAATGATTACTTTCAACAGACCGGCAAAATTCCGGATTTACCATCTGTTGAAAGTGGAGGTTCTAGATTTATTTTCAGTAGGCAGGTATATATACGCACACTTTTAATATTTATATATGTAAATGTATACATATATATATTTTTTTTTAAAGGGAACAGAGAGTACGATAAGTAAATCAACTGGAGTATCTTCGAAAGAATCGAGAAAATCGAAAAAGTCCAAAACGAAAAAAAGTAGCGAGCCTGAAAAATCGGAAGATGAAACCGAACTGAGTTACTTTAAATCTATACCTTCGAATTTTCTTCCAGAATTGGTTAATTTACAAGAAGAGTATCAAAAAGTATGGAAAAACAAAGACGAGTCTATGAATCCTATGCAGGAGCCTTACAAAGATATGATAGAAGCTGATAAAACTGAAGAAATTAAAGAAGAAATTAGAATTGGAGTGGATCAAAAATTGAGAGGTATATTTTATTTTTTGGTCTAACATAACAGGACCAATAATTCCTTGATTTAATAGATCGCCAGATCTAGAAAAGTCTTGGACAAATTTTTAATAAAGAGGTTCTATAATAAATAATACAAGCTTTTATAAACCATGTTTAACAATAATTATAACAATTAGATGATATAGAAGCTCTTCAAGCAGCTTTGGACAGAGATAGGGGTATTAAAAGTAAACGTGGTAAGAAAACGCAAAAACGTATTCGCCGTAGTGGAAAAAAGAATAAAAAGAAAAAAGAAAAGGATTTGACACCAGATAGAACAACAGAATCTCTTTTCGAAGAACTACTCACTCAAGGAATTATTAAACTCTATCGAAAAACTTCATTGGCTGATTTTAAGGTCGAGAAATCTTATGCTAATTATGAACTTCTTCAGAATGGTAAAGATATTTTACCAACGTTAGGTAAGTATTTTTTTAAATAAAAAATCAATGTACAGTGGATCAAGTCAGTCAACAGTCTCATACACAATATACTTTTTTATGTTGTTTATATTTACAATTGTGTAATTGTACAAATGTATTTATTTTAGGTGACATCAGACAATTAATCAAAGAGTATTGTATTCTTCCTTTAGGCAACAGTATTCTCAGAGAACTAACACCTCTTGTAAGATCTGTTCTAATAGCAGGACCTCGTGGAAGCGGGAAGAAAATGTTGGTAAACGCTATTTGTACTGAATTAGGTGCTACTCTTTTCGATATTACACCTTCTAATATTGTTGGTAAATATCCTGGAAAAACTGGATTGATTATGTTAGTCCATTTGATATCCAAGGTAGATTAATATTTGTCTTAATTAAGTTACTATTTCTAAGAGTATCGTTCAAATACATATTTTTTAAAACTTTTTCCTTTACAACAACGAACACCCGTCCTCGCATGAAATTATTATTCATCGGTTAATATTTCAGTATAAAAAATAGTTATTGTTTGCGTCTAAATTAGTACGTTATTTATTATTCGTGGATTTACATATTTGATTAATCGACTTTAAAAAGACCAAATATAGAAGACGCGATGATTAATAATGTCATTCTTTTTTTATTGTTTACCGAGGTTTCACGATTATTACAACCATCGATCATTTTTATGGATAATGCTGAAAAACCATTTGTTAAAAAACCACCAAAAACTGACAAAACTGATCCGAAACGTCTCAAGAAAGATTTACCTAAGTTGATAAAAAGTATCACTAACGAAGATAAAGTTATACTAATTGGAACGACAAGTTCACCTTGGGATGCTGATCAAAAATTATTATATCAAACTTATGACAAAATAGTATACCTTCCCAGACCAGATTATGGCAGTATGTCACTTGTCTGGAGAAATTTATTATACAAGGCAAGAATTCAACATATAAATAATATTAGATTGTTCTCGCCAATTTATAATATCGAAGTAACATAAAAGTATCGTCAAATCGACGCGAATTTCTTTAACAAACATCATAGAAAACAGTATATTCTTTTCGGTTGACCGCAAAAATTCGTGCCAATTATAAAAGTGCAAAATTATTTCTATTTATCTACGCTTTTCGACACACACATTTGTATTATTATTTATATTTATTATATATTTTCTAATACAGTATTCCGGAATAAACAGACAATTCGATATATCAGCAATGAATAAAATCTGTGATGGATTTACTATTGGTACGATATTGGATGCCGTTGATGAGGTATTTACGTAATTGGATTAATTTTAATTATAAAAGTTTTTCATGACATTTTTATTTAATTAGTTAATATAATTGAAAAAAGAGTATTTATGTATTATATATAAATAAATATATATATATATAAAGTGTATTACAGGTTATGACGACAAAACGAATGGTACAATTAAGAACACATCCGTTAACACATGCAGAATTAATTAACGCCATTAGTACCAAAGATCCGGTTTACCGTGAAGAAGAAGACACATTTTTATGTAAAAATATATTTTTCTATATCGATACTCATTGAACACGAATATTTGTTACTTTTGTTTTTTTTTCTTTCGTTTCATTAAATATCATTAATTATAGCATGGTTCTCGAAAACACCAACTTGTCGAAGAAAACAAAGAGCTTTGGAGTTGGAACGAGAAAGGCTCGATGAAGCAAATGAATCCATGAAAAAGAAAGGAAAAAATGGGCGAAAACAAAAGGAATAAAATTTAATAAAATATATATAAGAAAAAATAGAAAAGAATATTAAAAATAATCATGAAGATATATTTTTAGATCAGCACTTCAACGCAACTCAATATTTAAATTGTACATTACGAAAATGTCGTCAATAGTTGTCAATCTAATAATATAATTTTTAAACGATACCATTTCTTATTACATAATACATATAAACTTTCCTGTTATCAATGAACTTGACAAAGAAAATAATTCCAGTAATAATTTACGTAATCCTAATATGTATAATGTACAACCGAGTATTTATACTGATTGTGGTTAAACTGAAGAATAAAAGAAAGGGAAAGAAATTATGATCGAAATTAGAACATCGATAAAAAATTATTTTCTCTTCTTGTATATCTTTCACGCAATGATTAAGTGTTCACACCATGATTATTGTTTCAATGGTCATATTTTATGATCGATATTACATATATACGTTCGTTACATTTGATTAAAAATAGAAGAGGAACATTTTAAACCACGCGTTTGACACGACGATTAACGATGGCCCGTAATCGACCTATGATAACAAGAAGGAGTATGAAAGACTGATAAAAACAGAAAACGTATAATTCTTCCTAAAACATAAAATATGAGTCAAGTTCTTTGACAATGAAATAATAAGTGTTCTTTATAGTTTCTTTTTTCATTATATCTAATAATGAAGAAAATTACGTATGTACTTTTAAGAAAAACAAAAAAGAAAAATGATTATTTTAAAAGTAATTACGTCGTTGTTTGTAAAACAAATTATCTTTTTCTTTATGTAACAGAAAATTAGTTAAAAGTTTAATATTCTTCTTTCTTCGTTTATATTCTTCTAAGATTATTTTCATTTTAAATATTTACGTATATATATTTATTTCTAAAAAAGATATTTCTTCTTTACGAGCATTCAGGACTATCGGAAAATTTTATTCTTTTTAAGTTACGAAATTAACACGAATAGGATTCTTTTGACTAAAAGATTAAACGATAAACAAGATTACTACGAAATGAAAATATTTTTATCTTTTCAATATTGATACGTGTAATTATATGATAATTTAAAAAACGAATTTAAATTCTAACGTTACGTATATGCATTAAGAGGTTAAACGATAAACGATAAACAAAAAACAAAATCACTAGAAAATGAAAATATTTCAATTTTTTTAACATTAATACGTGGAAATATATGATAATTTAAAAACAGGAATATAGTATTTTTGTCTAGACGATTAAACGATAAACAAAATTACTACGAAATGAAAAAATTTCGATCTTTTAAACATTGATACATGTAAATATATGATAATTTAAAAAATTATTACAATTTTAACTGTAATTTTATCTGAAAAAATAACAAAAAAGATAATGAATATGTTATGAGTTACTTTTTGACGTAATGCTTCGATGTACGCAGTAAAATTAAAAAATTAAAGTTAAAAACGAATATTGTCATTTAACCAATTGTGAAATTATACAATTTTTCATTTTAATTTTAATCTAATTGTAAGCTAAGCTCGACTTTTGTTTGTTCATGTAAGTATAGTACCATCGTCATTCGAATACGGTATAGTTGGTAAGATCGCCTTTATGGAGTTAGGCAAGATGCTTTGGATGTAACACAAAGGTCTTGTTAAGAGCGAGGTTATGCCATTTCTTTCGTTATGTCTTAAAGTGGTAACGTCCATGGGAACTTATATTTCTTTTTTTTTACATTAGCTATATAATTAATATATCCAGGAAAGAGAGAAAGAAATTGGTAAAAACTCAAATCACACGACTTTGATCTCTAATCAGATTATACCAATCTACTAGGGGTTATCTGGATAGAAAATAAGAATTATAGAAATAAAAAATATACAAAAATATTATTTCTTTTTCTTATCACGTCAGATCAGCTTAGACATTGCTATATGTGTTTATACATACATATGTATACATATATATGCAATGTGATAAGGATATCTGACTCAAACGTATGAAACATAACGTGATTGAGGTGAAGGAAATAATCGATAAACTTTTCAAAAATTGAATATCCTTTCCGGTGACCTCCACGATTTTCATTCAATAAATTATGCATGAATCGAACAATCGTTACGTAGATTGGAGAACGATTTTGAAGCAAAAATTCAAAGATAAATCAGTGGATGACATTTATATTTTGTAATTTTGTACTTTAAGTTTAAGCTACACTTTTAATAATGTAAAAAAAGAAAAAAAAAAGAGCAAAAGAATTCAATACATAGAATGAAAATTGATTTAATACAAATACATATGTTAACATACATTTATTAATCAATCAAAGATAAATTGTCATTCATAACAATGAATGAAGTAAATATCATTACGATCAAATTATAATTCAACGTTTAATAAATTAATTCTTATAAGCAGCTGTGTCATTTCAATCTTATCAATAATGCAAAACATTTAAACCTTATATAACTAATACCTTAATCAAAAAATTAATCAATATTTATATATTTTTTCAAATTACTGATCAGTAACGTTTGTAAATATTCAATTAGTAACCTTTTCATATGTGAAATAGTTTTTTTTTTCTAATTTACATGAATTAGAATTTTGATGTAATTCTAATTATACGTAAATTATCCTAACCCCAATAAACATCATTAAATGATATTAATAATAATTTGTAAATTTTTTTCTAATATCTAGCAATAATAACAAATGTTTTTTCATAGCTTGTATCTCCGCTAATGTAAAACAATACCGTCAGACGGCGACACGAAATTTGTGATAATATTGTGAATATCATTAACTTAGGTTAGTTATCTATTCTTTTATTCAAATTTCTTGTCACAACGATAATAATTCGGTTCTATTATATAGAATGATTCAAAAGAATGCTATTTTTCTTATCTAATCTAACAACGATTATCGATTCTATACTAGAGAAAAGAATTTTCTGACAGAAGTAATCGTAATTGGCAATAAAATTATATTGATAGTTTCTCATAAATCTATGGGAAGAATCTCGTTCGATCCATCAAAGAAAATATCAAAATAAATAAATAAATACATATGTGTGTAAGAGGTGTTAAAATACTTACAAAAATGAATAATTGAAACACATGATTATCGGACGATGTTACTAAAAAGAAGTCATCGTTTATATTTAAACATGCACATAATAAAAATTACGTATTCATTATAAACGATGATGGACATATTTAAAAAGAAAAAAGAAAAAAAAAAAAAAAGAAAAAAGATCGATTAAAGAAACATTTCGAATAATTATCGAAGCAACATTAACATAAGATACGTTCTCTCAAAAAATGGTTGAGATCATTAAAATGAAATTAAAATGAATATTAATTCGAAATTGGTCTAACGCATCTCGTCTATTTATAAACTATTTCGTAAAAGAATCGTGGAAAAACATGAATGACTTACAAGAGATAAGAGAAGAATAACGTTAAAGGGATTGGAAGGAACAACAGTCGATCCTGCCGGCACATCGAGAAGCACCGACAAAATAAATAATACGCATGCGCTAGCAAAAGATGCATTCCTATTGGCCGATGCCACATGGTCTGATGTCAGACCACGGGGCCGGCCTAATTCAATAATAACGAGATGCTCACGAGCCGGACGCCAACCAGTCCTCTTCGACGAGCCGGTGGTAACACGTGTTGGTCAGTGTCGTCAAAGAGGAGGAACTTTTCCGCGTCGTGTTTTTTGTGTTATTATCGTCATAGCTTCATGCTATTTCGTGTGTGCATATATTATAATCAAAATCTCGATTAATAAGCATACGAATTAGAAAAAAGACAGCCATTGAACGATAGAAAAAAAGAACGAGAGAAGACAGAGCGAGCGAGCGAGCAAGCAAGAAAGAAAGAGAGAGAGAGAGAGAGAGGGATAGAGAAGAGAGGAGGAACGTAACAGAGAGGATATTACGTCTTACTCGTGTCAGGTGAGTTTTTCTACTTAAAAGCCCTTCTTTATTTAACTTTCATATTATTATTTTATCTCATGAAATAATATTGTTTAAATGAGTGTATAATATTTCGTTAAATTGTTGATCTCTGTAAGAAAGTTTCTTCATTGATTAGGAGAATATAGTTATAAGTATAGCGAATTCGCGCCTTGCGAAGAGTCGCCACATTAGAGAAGGGAGGACCGATCGATCGTCCCTGCATTTTACAACAAATACATCTATATTTACATATATATATATATATATATATATATATATATATATGCATTAATTATTAAATTTTATCAAAAAGGTGCTCTTATATTTATCTTTTTTAAACTGGTNAACTAAAGGATGCCTTCAATTGGTGATTACAGTACACAAAAAGTTACAAAACAAACAATATATATATATATATATATATATATATATATATATATGCATTAATTATTAAATTTTATCAAAAAGGTGCTCTTATATTTATCTTTTTTAAACTGGTTATGTAAATTGGCTTTTTTTTTTCGTGATTTATCTTATAATTTTTTATTGACCTCTTGACAATATATGTAAACACAAAGAAGGAAGTTTCCCTACATTCATGTCCGCCATTGTTCTCTTTAACCTGTTATATATCTATAGATAGAATATATAGTATATATATAATATGTTCGATTTTATTGCTTTTTTTTTATTATAAATCATTAAATCGCGTATATATATAAATATACTTATTACGTAAAAGTCATTTTATAAAATAGTTTATCTTAATAATTCATAAAGTAAGGAATTAAATATGCACTATTTTTTCTTTTCATGGAGGGATACAACCAAGTGTTGGGTTACTCGATCGATACTACTACACTTTAGTTCATTTGACTTTGTTTTCGAACATATACAAGTATGTATTTTATATATACATACTTGTGTCATAAAATACTTTCGTTATGTTGAAGAAAAATTGAGAAATGTGATAAAAATATAATTACTATAGATAGCTAATACAATCTATAGAATTGACAAACTAGTAATAAATTGATTAGCTGATAAAGATGAATGATTAGATGAAACACTCGCTAGAGCGTAAATTAGAAACTATGCAATGATCGATTCGTCTTTTTACTAGCTTATGGTCATGTGCCCTTTCAAAATATCTATTTGTCAATTCGCAGAGATAGTATATGTGTGTACGTATAGGAAATATTATATATGTGTGTATGAGTTAGATATCCTGTGTTACTTTGAATTCGGCGCAGTAACTTCAAACTTGTTTTTTTTTTTTATTATGAAATTTATCTCTCTATTTTTATTTCTTTTTTTTTCATCTTTTAATTTTTTCTAAAATGTCACGTAATATTAAAATGAAAGAGAAAAAAAAACATCCATAAGTCAAGCCTGTAGGAGGTCAGACCTGATACTTAGGAGTATCATGCTTCATTGGCAGTGATAATCTCAGCGTTATGCCGGACGTACATTTCTCTTTCAAAGATTATAAAACATTTTTAATATTTATACAATCTTTATTATATATATATATATATATATATATTGTTTGTTTTGTAACTTTTTGTGTACTGTAATCACCAATTGAAGGCATCCTTTAGTTTCGTGAGATACTTGTACTTTTTATTTAATTAGTTTTATTATGTATTATTTATAAAAAGGATAAAAAAAAGTAATTAATTTCACGTAGTATTAGTAAAAAGTATTGATCAAATGCAAAGAACATTAATCAAAAATTTACTTCGCAGAAAAACAAAAATTGAAAGATTAAAGTTCATTCAAATGATTCGCGCGTTTTCTTCCGATTTATGCACGTTTTCGAAGATTTTTCTTATGCCATTTTCTCGAACGCTTGTGTACTCAATTAACACCAAATATCCAAGTATGAATGTAACTCGCGCATGTCATCATTTAAAGAAGTTTTTAAATGAGTGTCAATAATAGCTATTCAGAATGTCGAATGTTTTCCTTGCATCTACGTCGTAGCTGTGTGATTGCTTTTTGATTTCGATTTGAATAAATTATTCGATGATGTAGAGAGAGAGAGAGAGAGAATTTATATATTTTTTGCTTTTTTTTTGTCTCTTTTAATCTTTACAAACTCCGTTGAAAAAAACATTTAAAAACAAAAAAAAATGTTGTTACGAAATTGCTGGTAGACAGTAATACAAAAACACGCGAATCCATTAAAGATTAAATCCTTATGCAAGAATATTATAAATAGATTATTATTTATTTGTTATTTAATTCGAAGTATCAATAAATTTGAATATACTATAAGGATACTGCATCTGCAGTGTTCGTTTGTTGAGAATTTATATATCGCAATGACGTGTCCGATTAACAAGTTGAAACGTGCGCTGTCTCTTGATTCTCAGGTATCATGTTATCTACTCTGTTATCACATTGCTAAAGTGCAGCTGAAGATTGAAAATAAGACTAATTTTTTTGAATATAAAGATCAGAAGTAAGGTTGATCATTTTGGATGGAGAAAAGAAGTGTAAGGGTTATCAATACAATGAAGAAATAAAGCACGTTTCCGAAAATGAAATGTACGAATTGTCATGGTTGATATTCCTATAGTTATCTTATCTTTTTACTAATTGTAAACATTTTTCTTAATGTCTCTTTTAATGTCTCTTTTAATATTCTTTCCTTGTAAAATATTAGCTGTCAAGATATTGTATATTCGTCTCGGTTTTTTAATTTCTTCGATGTATTTCCGCGACAAAAATGCAATTTGCTTTAATCAAGCATCGTTGTCCTCGTTTCTACTGATTTCTTTTGTCTTATAATTGTTTAGTTAGCTGAAAAGAAGAATTTTTTCATACGAAGTAATTATAATTTATCTAGGGAAAAATGTTAATGCAACGCATAGCGTATGCACCGAGTTATATTATACAATAGTCTACTTTAGACCCAAAAGAGATATTGGACAATGAAAAAATGAAATAAAGAATCGTGTATATACTTTTAACAAATTTACAGGTAATCATAGGAAAGAAAAATTGTGCGTTTAATAATATTATTATTGGTACATTACTTTTGTTCGTCACTGTATGCACCTATGTATATTATGCGTGCATGATTATATGAAAACGAGGATTATCGTTACCGGTCGTCAATGCATGATAGCGTATGTGGTTAACCTTAACAATGATCTCATATTAGATCAACCTTCTTCGTTGTAAATTGAAATTACTTTTTTGCCAGATTATTATAATATTCATATAAAACGTGGCCAAATGATTTTTATTATATTTAGAAATTTTCGTAGAACAAAAATAAAGAATATTATTAGGCGTACAACTATGCTTCCACCGTTTTAAACATTAGTTTAAAAATGAAAGATATGAGAAGCCAAAAAATGAAAGAAACTTTTAAGATAATGACGTGAAGAGAACAAAAAATATACTTATTATGACATTAAACAAATTTACAAGGCTGGGTTGAAAAGTTTTGTGAATGTTAATAAAAATAATATTTTTATTTCTTTTATTATATTGGATTTATATATTAATTGAATATCGAAACACTATATAATTATTATCGTTATGCATTATTAGAGGAAAAATTAAAAGGCCATTAGCGTAAATTATAATTCAAGTTATCGAATAGGTCACGACTTGTCTCCGATGTGTGCTCGTGATGTTTTAAATGTTACGATTAACATTTAATATCTTTTAATGAAAGTCCTTTAAAAATATGGAATAATTTGTTGCTTCACGTACGATACTTAAGTGGAATTTCTTGAAAGTACGTGCGTCATCGTTTACTTATAATTAGTAATTATATAGATAGCAGTATCATAATTGTAAAAATATCGTGATGTAGATAAATTATTATTTTTTTAATAGAGAGAGAACTTATTATAATTTTGTAATTATATATGTAATTGTAATTTTTAATACAAATTTTTCATTTGCCGGTAAAGAATATGAAAGAGAACAAAAATGAATGAACGGATTAAACTTTAATTTTATTCATTGAAAAAAGAGTATTTTAAAATAATTATATTATTTTCATTCGAAATATATTCGGTAATATTAATCATATTTTATACATCGTTTGCAGCTTTTAAGTTTAATATTTGCTGACAATGATTAATAAAAATTTGCAGTGCTTTGGATTTTTATAATTCAAATGTTAAATATTGTTAAGAAAATGGCAATATACATAACTGTGATAATATAATTAAATATGAAAAAAGGAAGAAAGAAAAAAAAGAGAGAAAAATAAACGCAAATAATTGTTCTTTTTATTGTTATAGAAACGACAAAACGTCGACAGAAGTCATTAATATTTATCACAAAAAAAAAAAACTCATTTTTTAATTGTGTAAGTTTGCAATTTTCAATTTTAAAAATAGAAAAATATTTGTAATTATAATGTAACCGTTCTGTGCTGATAAGACGAACTTCTCGTGATCCTAATGGCCATGAACTTAACTTATCCACTTACACGTGCAACGCAACGATAACTCACGCATTTACTATTTATCGATTAAATCTTATTTTTAATTTTTTATGATTTAATGTTTCTGCTGATCGATCATACGATTATTGATTAGAATATTTTATAGTTTAAAGAAATAGCAAGAAAATCATGATTTTGTTGTATTCTCTTTTTAAGAATATTTGTTTTTTATCCCCATATTAATGTAGATAAATGTGTAATATGTATATATCTTTTTTTCTTTTACAAAGATTATAAGTTGCTATTAAGGGGAATTTGCAGAAATAATGTTGAGTATTTGTATAGTCAAATATTTCCTAGGATTGCAAGCACTATCATGTAATATGTATATGTGCATTATACATATGCAGACGTCATTATTTTCTTGCATGTATATACACAGCAGTCTTTTATTTCAAAAAAATTAATAGTTTTATGAAATGGTGTTCGTTCGGAATACTTAATATTCATTTACACGATCATATAAAATAGTTTTATTTATTAATTTTCATCCATACAGATATTAATATTTTTTTACATTTTTATTCCAACTGTACACAAATTTGTTACTATTATTTTTATATAAAATATAAATACAAATAAAAATGTTTGAATTTTCAGCCTATTGTCCACTAGGCTATCACGTTCAATAAATTATCCAGGAACATTTCAAGACTCCTCTAAAAGTTTGTATAGTTAAACAAAGAAACAAAATAAATTACAAAGATGCCTGCTCGATTCGAAGGTGTAAACAGTCCTATCGTACGAGAGCCAATCGTTTCGAATGGTGTTTCCCATAATCTCAACGAGGATATTGTCATAAGTGGTTTCTCAGGTAAATTCAAATTATTTGTAAGAATACATATTTTTTAATTTGTTTTTTTTTTTATTATCATATTTGTAATTAATGAAAATAATGTTGATAGGTCGTCTACCAGAATCGTCAAATATAGAAGAATTTAAAGCAAAATTATTCGATGGAATCGATTTGGTCACAGACGATGAACGTCGTTGGCCCTCCGGTCTATATGGTTTACCAACTAGAAGTGGTAAACTTAAGAATCTCGAGTATTTCGATGCCACTTTCTTTGGTGTACATGCTAAGCAGGCTCACGTAATGGATCCACAACTTCGAATGCTCTTAGAAATAACCCATGAAGCTATTATCGATGCTGGCATCAATCCTGTTTCAATAAGGGGCACAAGAACTGGTGTATTCATAGGGGTTTCTTCATCGGAATCTGATGAATTTTGGACGAGAGATCCAGAGATGGTCAATGGTATGTTATACGCATTTAATTCATCTTGACGAACTATAACTTTTATCTACAATATTATTCTACAACAATGCTTGCAATTATCCGTTCTTATCTCTTCCTGTATCTTTGAAAACTACTGTTCTGTTAGTCATTTGTTAATCTGTCTACATATATTAGGTTGTCCCATAAGTTCTTTCCGCGCTACGCTATGTATGACTTCGAGCCAGCTATGTTTGTAGACATGCAGGCTTAATAGCATAATGAGGCTTCCTGAGAGATGTAAAAATATCGTCTATTGATTTCGCATCAAAAAAAAAGGAAGGAACTTATGGGACAACCTAATATATATTAAAATGTAATTTTTATAACTTTTAAGTAATTATCTTTTAAACAAAGATATCATTATCGTATAATGTTGTATAAATTATTAGCGATTTTTTATTACTATTATGTAATAATATATTATGTATATATATTTAAACAGGATATGGGTTGACTGGATGTTGCCGGGCAATGTTTCCAAACAGAATTTCATATACCTTCGATTTCCAAGGACCAAGTTATGCAGTAGATACAGCCTGTTCATCTTCATTATACGCAATGCATCAAGCAATAGCTTCAATGAGATCTGGAGAATGTGATTCAGCTATAGTTGGTGGTTGTAATTTACTTTTGAAGCCAACAAGTTCACTACAATTTCACAGATTAAACATGTTATCTCCGGATGGTATGTGCAAGGCTTTTGATGCAGATGGAAAGGGTTATGTAAGGGCAGAAGCGGCTGTGGTTATATTTTTGCAAAAGTCGAAGGATGCTCGTAGAGTTTATGCCACTGTTGTTCATTCTAAAACAAATGTGGATGGCAATAAGATCCAAGGAATTACTTTTCCTAATGGAGATATGCAGAATAAGTTGATGCAAGAAGTATATTCGGAATGTGGCATTAATCCAGCCGATGTTGCTTATGTTGAAGCCCATGGAACTGGTACGAAAGTTGGAGATCCACAGGAAGTTAATTCGATTGCAGATATATTTTGTAAGAACAGAAAAGGACCCTTGCTTATTGGATCGGTTAAGTCAAATATGGGTCACTCAGAACCAGCCAGTGGATTATGTTCAATTGCAAAGATTCTTATTGCAATGGAAAGTGGTATTATTCCACCTAACTTACATTTTAATAGTCCTAATACTAACATACCTACATTGTTGGATGGAAGGATGCAGGTGGTTGACAAACCATTGCCATGGAAAGGTGGTCTGGTAGCACTGAACTCATTTGGTTTTGGCGGAGCAAATGCACACATTGTTTTACGTAGTAACCCAAAGCCAAAATTGTCACCAGTATTGGAAACTAAATTACCTAAACTTGTAATTGCGTCTGGCCGTACTGAAGAGGCTGTTGACTTTTTGTTAGACACAATTAAACAATACGAACAGGATGATGAATTTATTTCAATAATCCACGATATACATGCTGATAATATTTCTGGACATTCTGTGCGTGGGTTTGAAATATTAGGAAATTCTAATATTCGCGATGTCAGTCAATATAATAATTCGGGTAAACGACCTATATGGTTTGTATTTTCTGGTATGGGTTCGCAATGGGCTGGTATGGGAAAAGAATTGTTTTGCATTGAAACCTTCCAACGTAGTATGCTACGTTGTGCTGAAGCGTTGAAACCAGAAGGCATTGATCTGATCAATCTCATTCTACATGGAACAAACGAGACTTTTAAGAATGTATTAAATTGTTTTGTATCAATTGCTGCTATTCAAGTAGCGCTTGTTGATTTATTAACGTTATTAGATATACATCCAGATGGTATCATTGGACACTCTGTTGGAGAGTTGGGATGTGCATATGCCGATGGTACTTTTACACCTGAACAAACAGTCTTAGCAGCGTATTGGAGAGGAAAATGTATATTAGAATGCAATTTACCACCTGGAGGAATGGCTGCGGTTGGTCTCGGCTGGCAAGAAACAGCGAAACATTGCCCTCCTGACGTTTCGCCAGTTTGTCATAATGCTCCTGATTCCGTAACGGTCTCTGGCCCAGCCGATTCTGTTCTCAAATTTGTAGATGAATTGAAAAGTCAAAAAATCTTCGCCAAATCTGTTGATAGTTCTGGCTTTGCTTTCCATAGCAAATATATAGCATCGGCTGGTCCCAAATTACGTACAGTACTTGAGAAAATTATTCCAAATCCAAAACAACGTTCTGCCAGATGGATCTCGAGTTCTATACCTGAGAGTGCTTGGGGTGGTCCACTCGCACAACTTAGCTCAGCAGCATATCACGTAAACAATCTTTTATCGCCTGTATTATTCCAAGAAGCATTGGCTTATGTACCAGAAAATGCAATGGTTATTGAAGTTGCACCTCATTGCTTGCTTCAAGCAATTCTACGCAGATCCTTACCCCCAACTGTAACAAACATTGGTCTTCACAAAAGAGATTACGCAAATAATACAGACTTCTTTTTAAGCAATATAGGGAAATTATATACCGCAGGTGGTCAGCCCAAAATTTCCAAATTATATCCACTTATTAACTATCCCGTTGGTCGTGGTACACCGATGTTAAATTCCCTTATTAAATGGGATCACTCAACTGCATGGAGTGTAGCTAATTTTGCTAATACAGCTCGTTCTGGAGAAAGTATCGTTGAAATTGATTTATCCAAAGAAACAGATGCTTATATCAGTGGACATACGATTGATGGAAGAATTTTGTTTCCCGCAACTGGTTATTTAACTATTGTATGGAAAACATTCGCAAAACTTCACAGTACTGATTATGAAAAAATGCCAGTGGTTTTTGAAAATGTAAAGTTCCAACGTGCTACGATCATTCCAAAAGAAGGCTCAGTAAAATTCCTAATAAATATTTTTGATGGTAGCGGTGAATTTGAGATTTGTGAAGGTGGATCTGTTGCGGTTACTGGTAAAATTCGTGTACCAGAAAACATAGAAAAGGAACAATTGAGCCTGCCAGCTCCTACCACTCAAGATGAAACTGGCCTTATGGAATTAAATACTAGTGATGTTTACAAAGATCTCAGATTACGTGGTTACGATTACAGTGGAATTTTCCAAGGTATCAAGATATCGGACAATCGAGGAATAAACGGACAACTTTCTTGGAATAACGATTGGATTTCATTTATGGATACTATGCTTCAATTTTCTATACTTGGCAAAAGTGTCAAAGAATTATACATTCCAACACGCATACAACATATTTCTATAAATCCTACTGCTCATTTGAAATTAGTGAACAAACTTCCACAAGAAGGAGGAAGTCTTCCAGTTTATAACTACACAAATATTTCTTGCATCAAGTCGGGTGGCGTTGAAATGAGAGGTTTGAAAGCATCATTAGCTCCAAGGAGACAACAAGTTCAAGCAGCGCCCAAACATGAACGATATACTTTTGTACCATATGAAAATTATCAAATCCTTTCTGAAGATCCCGACAAAGCTAAGTTACATATTCTAACGGTTTTATTGGGTATTGTTCATGAAAATGTATTCAGTTTTAAGCTAAAAATAGCTGAAGTAGCTGGAGAAAGAGCAGCCGAAGCTTTAATGTCATCATTGGTGTTACAAATTTTGTATAGCGAACCTGGAATTATTAATGTGAGTATTAAAATAATCGATTTATTGAAACTGATCTAATACAAACGAGCAAAATTGTATAAATTAATATGTAATATTGTTTTTCTATCATAGATTGAATCACAACTGATAACCACTTCGCCAGATAATTATGCTGCATCTTTGGATCAATCAGATATAAAGATTGTAGCTATAGATATAAACAATGCACTTGCTGGACAGGATTTACATCTTGTAATAGCAGCCGATGTACTTAGTAACAAATCTCTAACTGTCTTAGAAAACTTATCTAAATCGTTGAAAAATGGAGGATTTATTATTCTGGAAGAGACTGGAAAATTCGATGTGAAATTATTAAAAGGTACTGGATTAACGGTCGTTAGTACACAAATTAACGCTGGAAAGATTTATGTGCTTTTGAAGAAACTCGAACAGAAAGGTGAACCTATAATTATTCAAATTAACGAAAAGAATTTCTCTTGGCTGGAAAAAGTTAAAGCTGTATTGCATAAATCTGAAACGGAAGGTCAAGAGATACTTTTCGTTAGTCAAGGCGAAGAATTACTTGGTAAGCTTATTTTATTATTTATCTTATTTATTTTATTTATTATATCTTATGTTTTTTTATAATTATTGTTAATGAATGTTTTGTTTTATAGGAATGATCGGTTTCATGAATTGTCTTCGTTTTGAGAGTGGTGGGAAAAACGCTCGTTACGTTTTCATTCAAGATAAAAATGCACCAAAATTTTCTTTAACTTCAAAATATTATGCCGACCAATTAAGCAAGCAATTAATTGCGAATGTATCGAAGGGACGTCATTGGGGAAGTTATCGTCATTTACGTTTGGAGCAACAGAACGACGCATCGTCTCTGAAAGTTGAGCATGCTTACATTAATACTTTGGTTAGAGGTGACTTGACTAGTTTAAGATGGATCGAAAGCTCTTTGAGTTATTACCAACCTGAAAAATATCCAGACACTGAAATGTGTAGCGTTTATTATGCTCCGTTGAATTTCAGGTAAGTTTCTAATCAAGATCTTTCTATTATTCAATCATTTTGTTTAATAATAATTAATTATATACTTTTTTCGTGTATAATAGAGACATCATGTTAGCTACTGGAAAGTTACCACCAGATGCATTACCAGGTGACATGGCTTCTCAAGATTGTATTTTGGGTCTTGAATTTTCTGGTAGAAATACCAAAGGACAAAGAGTAATGGGAATGGTAGCGTCTCGAGGGTTAGCAACAACCGTCTTAGCAGATCCAGGATTTATGTGGGAAGTACCCGATAAATGGAGCTTAGAACAAGCAGCAACTATTCCAGTTGTCTATGCAACGAGCTATTATGCTCTCTTTGTACGTGGTAAATTACGACCAGGTGAAAGCGTTTTGATTCATGCTGGTACCGGTGGAGTTGGTCAAGCAAGTATTGCAATAGCTTTACATGCTGGATGTAAAGTATTCACTACAGTAGGATCTGAAGAGAAACGAACTTTCCTAAAAAAGACATTCCCGCAATTGACCGATAAAAATATTGGTAATTCAAGAGATACCAGTTTCGAACAACTGATTCTAACTGAAACTAATGGACGCGGAGTTGACGTTGTTTTGAATTCATTGGCGGAAGAAAAGTTACAAGCTAGCGTGAGATGTCTTGCAAGGGATGGCCGATTCCTTGAGATTGGTAAATTTGATTTAGCAAATGACAGTTTTCTAGGAATGTCTGTTTTCTTAAAGAACACCACATTCCATGGTATACTATTGGATGCGCTATTTGAAACTAATTGTCCAGAGAAAAGAGAGGTAGTAAAATTAGTTAGCGAAGGAATTAAAAATGGAGCTGTAAAGCCACTCCAATCAACAGTCTTTTCGGAACAACAAATTGAACAAGGATTTAGATTTATGGCCACTGGTAAACATATCGGCAAGGTATTGTTAAAGATTCGCGATGAAGAAACACAGAAGGTCGTACAACCATTCTCAAAGACTGTAGCAGCTATTCCACGAACATACATGAATCCAGACAAATCGTACATACTTGTTGGCGGTCTTGGTGGATTTGGATTAGAACTTGCAAATTGGATGATAACTCGAGGTGCCAAGCATGTTGTTCTGACGTCAAGATCAGGTATACGAACCGGATATCAAGCATTGTGTGTTAGACGTTGGCGTGAATCCGGTGTAAATGTTGTCATTTCTACAATCGATGTTACAACATTAGCTGGTGCAGAGAAATTAATTGAAGAATGTAATAAGATAGCTCCTGTTGGTGGCATATTTAACTTGGCTGTTGTCTTGAACGATGCTCTCATTGAAAATCTTAATGAAAACAATTTCAAAAATGTTGCATTACCTAAAATTGATGGCACAAAGAATTTAGATTTAGCCTCAAAAAAACATTGCCCTTCTTTGGATTACTTTGTTGTATTTTCATCGGTATCTTGTGGAAGAGGCAATATAGGACAAACTAATTATGGTCTTGCTAATTCAGCAATGGAGAGAATAGTAGAACAAAGACAATCCAATGGTTTACCTGGTTTGGCTATTCAATGGGGTGCCATTGGTGATGTTGGTTTAATTTTAGGTACGATCATATCTCTTTGAAAAATCTAAATACATTTCTAATACGTGAAATATGTTTATACAAATAATATTAACGTGATGTTATTTTTTGTTTTACAGAAAGTATAGGAAATAACGAAACAGAAATAGGTGGTACTCTTCCACAACGTATAAGCAGTTGTCTCTCATCATTGGATGTATTCCTTCAACAATTCCATCCTGTTCTATCGTCTTTAGTTTTAGCGGAAAAACATAAAGCGACTGATAATTCGAATCAAGTTACTCTCGTCCAAGCTGTTGGAAATATTCTAGGAATCAAAGATGTCAAGAAAATAAATCCAAGTAATACTTTGGCTGATTTAGGAATGGATTCATTAATGGGTACTGAAATAAAACAAACTCTTGAAAGGAATTACGATTTAGTCCTATCAGCTCAAGAAATTCGTGGATTGACGTTCAATAAATTATTGGAATTGTCATCCGATAATAACACAGATACGAATGATGCTGCTGCAGCAACTACAAATAGTAATACGACAGAAAATGTAACAGACGAATTACTATTCCAATATTACGAAACCGAAATTGTACCTAAAGTATCTCTCGTAGAATTAGAAACTAAGAATTCAAAGGGTACACCATTGTTCTTGGTTCATGCTATAGAAGGAATCATATCTCCTCTTAAAACTTTAGCTGCTCAATTAGATCGGCCTGTTTGGGGATTTCAATGTACCCAAGATGCTCCGCTTAATTCCATATCGGAATTGGCTGAATTCTATATAAAGATCATGAAACAGGTACAGAAAAAAGGTCCATTCCATATAGGAGGATATTCTTTTGGTGCCTGTATAGCTTTCGAAATGGGATTACAATTAGAAAAAACTGGTGAAAATGCTGTTTTAACTCTTCTCGATGGTTCACCGGCATTTATTACTTTGCATACGCAGAAAATTGGAAAACAAGGTAATCAGATAAATAAAGATGAATTATTTGACGGTTGTCGAAAAGCTTTGGCATTCTTCTTGAAACAATTTAGAAAGGATATCAATTATCTTCAGGTAATATATAATAAAATTACAAATTTTTAATGTTAATTGATATATACATATATAATGATTACTCTTTTAATATATGCATATATTTTTATTCATATGAAATATAATATTTACAGGCATATAGTATCTTAAAAGACACAGAAACCGAAGAGCAGACGTTAGATAAAATGTTAGAAGTAATTGGTAGTACGCCATTCAAACCAGAGGAATTAAAAATCGCTGGTATATTATTTTACAAAAAATTAAGAGCCGCTAATGTTTATCAACCCAATGATAAATTTAAGGGTGATATTACATTACTCAAAGCCAAAGACAATTTTGTAGCATTGAATTACGATTATGATCTTTCAGAGGTAATTAATATATATCATTTAATAAGTTTTATTATAACTCTTATAAGTTTTTTTTTTAAATATCAATTTTTAACTTTTGTTTTTTTTTCTGCAGATTTGTAGGCAAAAAGTTAAAGTCGAGGAATTACCAGGTAATCATAGAGATATTTTAGTTGGCGATGGTAGTAAGAAAATAGCAAGCGTTTTGCGAGTATAAAATTATTTTTAAAACGAAAAAGGAAAAATAATTTTTTGTTTTAACCAATACCAAATTTGATACTTTATCTTATTGGATATCTATGAAGTCGTTTAAAAAAGATATTAACGTTCTGTAAAGTATCGTGATATACTGTTTAATTAAAAGTATCACTAATGAGAGAAAGAAAGAAAGAAAGAAAGATTATATATATATATTTATATATATATACCTATAGAATTTAGTGATAATAATGACTCGTATGCAAAGTTTTGAAAGTTCCTTTTGTACAAACATTCCTTCGTCGTAAAGAAAAACTGTCTATATATGTAATATCGTTTATTGAAATATATAAACTTTTGCTTTGGTGATTTGGATCACGATAATCTTTTGAAGTAAACGCATGTTTTTATTACATAAATTATCAAAAAACAACGTGCCAAGCACAGAGCTTTAGTTTATATAAATATAAGCTATTAATAATTAATATAACTTAAATTAATTGTGTATAAAATAAAAAAAATAAGATAAAAATAAAAATAAAATAAAGGACTACTTTAAATAAGTAGTTGATAAGTTCGTGATAATAATAAGCACGAAAATAATACTAGAAAGATGATGAGAAGAATGAGATGTCTAGCGTGTATTTTTTGGAGAAGTCTCAAGTACTATAAAATCTTTCCGCTGGTTATTGGTGGACAAAATAACCATCGTTAAGTTTTATAGTTATATTATCATTATATTTATTCTGTTATTATATAATTATAATAATAATCTCATAATCATTTGTTGTGTTGTTTATCTCTTTAATTGTTTTTTCTAATATCGGTATGTATGAAAGGCACAGAAATAACGCAGATATCATAATTAAATTGTTTTTACAAAGAGTATATAAGATATTCACGTGTTATGTTTTTTAGTAGAATAAAAAAGTGGAAATAGAACAAAATTAACACAAATGCTTGTTAAAGAGCGTTACGATAGATATGATATTTGTAAAATATATGCTAGAAATATATTTTTTTTTAATGTATGTCTTTGTTTGCGCTAACATTTTTCTTTTTTTTTTTTTACGATTTAATCTAAAATTAAGGTGAAGTCGCTCCCGCGTGGTCTATAAAGATTCCCATTCCTTTTGTCTCTCATATTGTCCTCTTATCGCTAATCACATAAACACCATGAACGTGAATTTTTCTATCCTATAAACCCTTAAACCGAGAATGCCTATACTCGTTCCTCCACTCTCTGCTACCAAAAATCGCTACCGCACAATTTATGCAATAAATAATTTACTATTGTTTTATCAATTTTTGAAGAAATATGAAAATTCTTTAATTAATATAATTAGCGAATTATATAGACAGCATTTGTTTTATCGATAAATGTAAATGAATATTACCGGTGGAATAAACAAAATTGCATATCTTCAGGAACAATATTTGTTATAAATACTAATAGAATTTAATTGAAAAATTAAAAACATTAATATAGCCATTATATCCACCTGCTATTATCTCTCGCATTGTTGTTGTTATAATTATAATTATTTATTTTGGTACATTCCCATTTATTATTTTTTCATTTTAGAAACATTTGAAATATTTAACATTACGGTTTTTTCAATCATGATAATAATAATGACAATTTGTTACATTTCCCTACTTACTATTATTATCTTAATTATTTGTAAAATAAATTATACTTTGTGTGAATGTAAGAAGTTAACTTAGATTCATAATACACTATAATATTAACCCTTTGAGTGGCATGAATGCAGGGAATGCAAAGACAGTTTGTAATTGTTGATAATAGTTTCGAGTCTTGTAATAACAAAATTGTGCTCAATAATAACTTTCACATAATATTTTATATATAATATATGGAAGAATAATTATTATAACTTACTTAGTTATGCTTAGTAAAGTATTTCATCTCCAGAAAGTGCTTTTGCCAAGATTATTCAATACTCAAAGGATTAAATTATAATATTAAATTATTTTACATTCACATATATATAGAAATAATTTAATTGACACTATTTCATTATATTACGATAATTTGGATCAGTAATAGCTGCATTTGAATCACATGTGAAAGATACGGTCAATGCATATCGAGTTCCAGATTGGACTTTTTCAACTGCGTGCAAATTTTCACTACCAGATGTGAACATTAATACTCTACCTAAAGGACAACAAATTTTCTATTTAAATTTAAATATTAGACATTATTTTAATATAAAATATAACACACAACTTACCCTTTCGTGGTTCTACAGTACTATTAACATTGTTGTCATTAATAAATATAAATCTACCTCCTTTGAAATCTCTATCGTAATCATTTAAATATAGTAAAGAGGTATAATGAAAGTGTTTATATGTTTCCTGTAAATATAAAAATAGATTCTTAAAATACTTTATTCGAAGCATGTGTATGCATATATAATTAAATCTGGTAGGACATATTTCTACCTTATCGACATGTGGATGCCAATATTCATCATGTATAGTTTTAGCCGGCACATTAGTCATTTGCGAAAAGAAAGTTGGTTTAGTTAAATGAATCTTATCAACATCTACTCCAAAATAATGCGCTATGGAATGCTGAATCTTGGTCTTAACTACTCTAAGAACAAAGATAAATTTTTATATAAAAAGAAAACAAATATTAATCATAAATATATTTTTAAACATAAAAATTTAGGTATTCATACTTATACATGGCAAAATCAACAGCATTAAATATTTTATCTCTTCCTTCTAGCTGATAGATGTTAACGAATTTAGATCCTTTACTCAATGCACCAGAGTGAAGGTCTAAGATAGTTGCACCACCATCAGAACCACCTAAACTCATACCGTTAATTGCAAGTTTTAAGAGAACATCGCTCTCTGCCGAAGTAACTAATTTATCTGTTACCATTCTTCCACATTTTTCTGGTAGACAACCAGGAAATTGATTTAATTCATTTTTAAATTCTTCTGAACACTCTACGGTTTGCGTTCGGGTTACCAGTATATCTTTTTGTTTTGCTAATTGTATTTCTTTACCGTTTCTACTATTATACCAGACGATAAACAAAACTCCAACAATTAAGATGCAACGTGACCATACTCTTTGATACGGGAAGGATATAGAAGGTCCAAATTTTCTAAAAATTAACAAAATAATTTTATTATTATATACATTTACGAAATAATATAATTAAACTAAATTAAGAAATAGTTTAGAGTGATAAAAGGAAAGTTAAGAAATGGAAATTTTTATATTGCAGTAAATTCATATTAATAACACTTACAATTAAATCGATATCTCTATTGAATGAAAAAATGTGGTTACAAATATGTGATACATACGATTTGACAGTTTTATTTGTATCGGTATCTACATCTTCTTTCACATTGTTTTGTGCTTGTATTGCCTTTTCCTTCTTAACGTCCTTTTTCTTGGACTTTTTATTTTCTTGTGACATATTTTAATTAATATGTTTTCTCAATGTTTATATTTACAGTAGTAACGTCGGAAGATCTTTCTTCTTTAGTAACAGGTGGTACAGAGTGCGCCACATGTGCATTTCTCTAATCAAAAAAATGATAATAAATTGGATATATTTTTACAGAGAATTTTTTAATTATGATATTATACAATGAAGAACAAAATGATTCATTGATTTCCTCGTAATAAAGAATAAATAAAAAGTCCAAAGTATTTTTTTATACAAAAATTTTAGTTATTTAAAAATGAATTTAATAACAAAACAAATCATTAAAGTCAAGCAACGTGTTCACGGTTAGTAAAATGGATGAGTGACCCGTTCGGAAAAACAAAAAATAAAACATAATCTAATATTATACTAATCGAAATAAAATTTTGATTAATATATTTAATATAGATTTATTTTTCAAATATTTCAGAGAGAATTTAAAAATGATGAGTATAGCGCATGGGCAACAAAGAAATCTTAAAGTTATTGGTTTGACACCATGTTGTCATAGAAACTGATAAAAGCATGGCCGACTGTACTACAGTTTACGATTACCAACCGTTCAAGAAGGTGATGATTAAATACTTCACGATTTATCATCGACATTGAATGATTTTTTAAGTGAGTATTTACAAATATTTTTTATTGATTAGTTCATTATTTTTATTATTATTATCAGTTTTATTTTATTGAAATAATTATAATAGATCGAGTTAAATATTATAACAAAAATTTTATTTCTCTTGTCTCAAGAAACAACGTAGTTTTTTCATGATCGTTATAATCATTTATTTATGATTGTAATTAACTTTTACTAATTTATTACATTTATCAATATTGTTGTTTGAAAATATTTATAATAATTTGAACTACCACAACTCGCGTCACTTGCAATACATATTTTTGTTCTTTTTTAATAAACAGCGTGAATACCAAGTTTATTTAACTTTCGCATAAAGAAACGAAAAAAAAAAACTATAGTATGATAATAATAGCTAAGAGAAAATTCTAATCGATATAACATGATATTGATATTTTTCATTTCTAAGAACGATTTTGTTAAAACGCGTTACTAATGTATAACGTCATTAATATGAAATATTTATTAGTTCATTGTACACTTTATGCGTATACATATAGTGTATTGTTAATGGTTTCACCGTTTGTATGTCTTTAACTAAGAATTTTTTATTATATAAATTTGAAACGTACAAATGCATAAAAAAACATGATTACATACTTCCCGCATAGAGACATACTACAGAAAGATAACAAACATTTTATAGTTGTTTTCAACTACTTTTTGAATGTTCACTACATTAACCAATTATTAATCGCATGTAATTTATTTTGTAGAAATTTTATTTACATAACAAAAATATATTATAAATATATAGAAATGTTATTAATCATTTGCTCGAAAACATAAATCGATAATTAGTTGATTATAAGTACAAGTTAGTTAAAAATAAGTAGATAAGAATTTTGATTAGCTTTAAAATGATATATTAAAAAATAACATTTTGACAAATATTGCTTTTAAATTTTAACTTGTATAAGGGGTGGATTTTTTAAAGGAAAATATATTTAAAATAGAAGAACGCTTAGGAAATCCATATTCTCGCGTGTCTCGAACTCGGTTAAGAAAATGGTAATCTCAGGAAACGGTGCATGCATGAAAAGTAACCCAGATTAGGTTCTCTGTACCTTCCTTTACCACAAAATACAAGGTTTCTCTACGGAATAGTCGATCCTATAATCGATCTGATTATCGCCGCTAGCTTTTAGGTTTCTTCTAAGAAAATATAAAATCATTATACAATTACGTTAGTAAAATCTGTCGAGTTGAAACTGAATCATGAACTTTTCACAAACCCTGCATATATAATAATTTAATATATTGCATATAGGTAGTAGGTAGTATATAAGCGTGGGTTGGGTTATTTACCTTTCTATTACCTTTATGTTACCTTTTATAAAAACAATGCAAGTTTTTCTTTCGTGACAACTTGAATCGACCTTATTCGCTTATTAAAATCGATATAAGACGTTACCTCGTGAATCACCAGGACGAGAGAAAAATTTGATTCGAGCGTGGTAGCCTCATACCGAGTCAATAAATATCTAACAATAAGTGTTCTTTCTTTTCATTAAAATTTGGAGAAGAAGTATTACTCATAAAGGTCTAGTTCGAGTGGAAATAGCGAGGAAAGCTTTGACGTGTTATTCGTAAAACTATTGCACACGAGTATGGCATTATATCGATTCAACCTTCAAATATATATGATCGAGCTTTTATAACGTCTATATAAAATGATATCATTGCGGTAAAGACAAGTGTAACTGGACGTTGAATTATGCCAGATAAAACTATAGAAACTTGAATTTCATTAATGGTTTATTTTTATTGGGTCAAATAAATTTTCTTTCCTTACATTTCATATCATTTTAATCATCTAGAAAAGAATTTAATTGTCTTGAAATAAATAATAGGTAAGCGTGTAAAACGTTATCAAATTCATTTATCATATTAACTCAAGAAATAATATCAACGAATATATATATTTATTTAAGTAATAATTAAGTAATATTGAAATTTTCAATACTTTTATATATCATTTTGAATTACTGATTACAGTAATGTGAGAGATGTGCGAGACTGGTCGCGTTCAGTATCGGACACGTGTATGGCCGTGCGGTTAGCGTGATAGTTCAAATTCCTGATTGGACGAATGTGGAAAAAAATGAATCGGTATATAACATTGAACCAACTTGGTGACGGTACCTTTGGTTCCGTTGTTCTCGGTGAACGCATCGACACTGGTGAAAAGGTCGCCATTAAGAGAATGAAAAGGAAATACTATTCTTGGGAAGAAGCTATGAATCTTCGCGAGGTCAAGGTCAGGTTTCTAACAACAATAATTCACGCAGACTATTGATTTATTTCTATCGAATCTCTCTTGCAATTTTTTATCAATTAGAATTAATAAACATTTTATTTTTCAATATATTTCATTTATTTCTAATTTTATTTTTTTTTTTTTTTTTTAATACTAATTGATAATTTAGAAAATATTCTTTCGATCATGTATGTATAAAAGTTTTGAAGGAATACCTTCCTTTTCTTAGGGCGGTATACCCTATTATCGCTTTCACCCTGTTATCGCTTTTCTCTACCCTGATCAAAGTTTTATACTTGATTCCGTGTGCGAACTCGATTGACGATAATGAAACTATTTACAGTCCTTGAAGAAACTTAGCCACGCGAACGTTGTAAAGTTGAAGGAAGTTATCCGAGAAAATGACGTCCTATACTTTGTCTTCGAGTATATGAAGGAGAACCTCTATCAATTAATGAAGGATAGGTATAATTTTCTTTTTTTCTTTTTCATATATTTTTACGCGAATTATAAATTGTACACTTGTGTAGATAGGCAATCCTTTATATTACCTTGAATAATTGATGTATCGTAATATTTGTATCTCTACGCAGAATTATTTATCGATATATTTTGACGTATGAAGCGTAGTCTATCTAGCTAATATTTAAACAAACACGAAAATGAAATAAATCAACGAATCGATTATAATATCATTTTTATATTACTCGAAGTTGATCAAATTTGTTTGGCCTCTTGTTTTATTTTTTTAGAGACAAACTTTTCCCAGAACCGGTGATCAGAAACATGGTGTATCAGGTATTACAAGGACTCGCTTTTATGCACAAACACGGATTTTTTCATCGTGACATGAAGCCGGAAAATTTATTATGCATGGGGCCGGAACTGGTCAAGATAGCTGACTTTGGATTAGCCCGGGAAATACGGTCGAGGCCACCCTATACCGACTATGTGTCGACTAGATGGTAATTAATGAATTTCAGATAGCTATCATTGTAATTGTTAATACAGAACGAATTGATGTTTTTTTCCTTTTCTTTAAATTAATCTTTTCTCATGGTATATAAAATACAAAATAGTGATTTAATGATAATGAATTTGATGAGAATACAATTTTCAACTTGAAACAATTAATTATTAGATTTCATTTAAACTGACAGGTACAGAGCACCAGAAGTATTACTGCATTCCACAAATTACAACAGCCCTATAGACATTTGGGCTGTTGGATGTATCATGGCCGAGCTTTACACATTCAGACCACTATTTCCTGGTAAAAGTGAGATAGACGAGATCTTTAAAATATGTTCGGTTATTGGTACACCTGACAAAGACGACTGGCCAGAAGGTTTTCAATTAGCAGCAGCAATGAATTTCAAATTCCCAAATTTCACGAAAACTTCATTAACTATATTGATACCTAACGCTAGTCAAGAAGCTGTGATACTGATGGAAGACATGTTACAATGGAATCCTATAAAGAGGCCAACGGCACAACAATCATTGAGGTATAAACGATGAAATATTATTTACATTTAAAATATAGACTCTTCGTATTTGTGATTGCAAAATTAAGATGAATTTTCTTGTATATTTTAGATATCCATATTTCCAAGTTGGTGTACCGCGTGTGATTAGCAGTAAGAAAATCGGAGTAGCGTCGCAGAGAGAATTGATAATGAACAAAGTCAATCTTCCACCGCCGATTCCGAAACAATACAATTATCCGCAGCACGAAGTTATCAATAATAACGTAGTACAATCTAGGTAAAATACGTTGGAAAATAATAATGAAATAAATACAATGTATTAGTTAGAAAAACCTATATTTCAGAATGCAAGAGAAGAATATACAACCGCAGCAACAACCGGTATTACCATTGTTGAATCATAATAATCGTAAACGTGATAACCATTCGTCTAAATGGGACGAAGATGATTTCGCGGATCTTTTAGGGTGTGTTGCACGAATAACATAATCAGACCTAATCAAGACGTCGCTCAGTTATCTAATACTAGTCATTGTCCGATCGTCAGAAGCAAGATAGTTCCAGAGAGCATGGAAACTAAGCTACTACCTGATCGAGTTTACAAAGAAAATCGTGCCAATTGGAATGCCAACTATGCCGAACCACCGGACAATTTCAAGCAGACCAATGCCAATTGGTCATTGCCTGTTTGGAACGAGACGGTGCAATTAAAGAATTGGAATCAACAACAGTCGCAATCGGCTACGAAAAACGCTAGGAAGGTCTCAGCTAAACAACATTATCTCAGTGTGGCTCGGTACGTCGCTGGCCAGACCACGAATTTGTCGTCCAGGTATCGAAACTTTCGAAATACTATCGCGACCATTTTCTTTATACATTTGGTACTGATCCTTGCTAGTCTTATCTTCTATCTTAGTTATCCGATCGAATTATTACTAAATGCTTTACATATTTTTCCAATATTTTTTAATTATGATCAAACTTTTGTTTCTTTACAATGGTTACACAAGTCTTTGTGGAATACTAATCATACAGAATCGTACAATTCCGAAGTGAGTAGTCGATCGTACATTATTCATTTAAAAGATACACTGATCCAATTCTTTTATGCTAAATCTTTATCAAAATCTTCCAAAAGTTTCATAGAATTTACAAAGCTCGGTCGTCTTATTTATCAAGTAATTATCTTCATTTTTTATCCGTTGTTCGCTTTGAAATATTTTTTCAACATATTTTTGTATGCCGCTGCAAATGCTCGAGTATTTCTATTGAAATATTTTTATCAAATTCTTAGGTTCTCTTATTTGATCAAAGAATTTGTCGATAGTCAACTTTCCGATAAAATAAATGATTTATTCGGCAACTTTTTAACTTATTCCGATATTACATGGTTGCTATTGTTTTTTATGGGGATTTCATTTTTTGCTTTATATTTTCTTAAGTATTACCAATTTAAGAAAACAAATTGGAGAGTTTGTTAACATACCTACGCATCGATAATTCTCTAAATTATTCAAGTCTAATTGTAAGTTAAAGGAAAAAAAAAATTATTCGATTCTTACATTTTTGTAATTCAATGATATATTAATATATGAATATATAAAAATAGAACCAAATTAAATGTCATTAACCTGTTAACCATAAATACCATTTTACGAATAGAGTTGTCCCATGTAAATCTAAATGTTCCTTCAATAAAACAATTCCTTACCCACATTCCATCTTTTCAATTGTCTAATAATTTTACTATTATGTGTGTACATTTATATCATTTTACTTTTATTTGTTCTTTATTTATTTATTTCATTGAAGAAACGGAGACACCGATTCGCATCAATCAAGGGTGACGATGAACGGCACGATCGGTCCACCAAGTTCAGAAAAATATGAAGAATTCAATGATTCTTTTTGGGGGCCCAGAGAGAATGTCGAGAATCAAACGAGACAACATTATCTTCCAAGAAATCGTTACATAGCCGAGCAAAACTCAAGAATGCCTTATCCCAGTGTTTATGGTACGCAAAATATCAGTGAGTATAAGTATCACTAGAAATATATATATAAATATAATCAAATTCTAATAATTTTTCTAGACAAATTTTTCTATTTTTTTTTTGTCTAGAATGCGAGCAATCAAATTTTCAATGTCTTGAATTATAATTTGAAATTTTTAATCATGTTATTTTATGCCTTAGAACCTCAAAATAAATCGGCCTTACAATCGAATCTCTTTGGAAGTGTCTTAAATGTTCGAGGAAGTGGTGGTCTCCATGGTAGAACTGATTGGGCTGCTAAATATCTCAAATGACCACCACGTTACAATTCATCCTGAAATGGAAGTTTTTATTTTTACTGACACTTACCTTAATCTGTGATAGAATGATTTTAATCGTTCCAATAACGGTACCATCTTGCAGGATCGTTCATTGTAGAAACTAGATTTCTATTTCGTAGTATACAATCCATCAATTGAAGCTTTCATTTTTTTTTTTTCTTTTTCTTTTTGTAATTTAAACAATTTTTTTGTTTTTTTAAAGCAACGTAGAAAGTAAACGTGCGCGATTGTTTATTGGTTACATGAATATAAATGAAAGCTAGGAAACTCACGCAACGATCATAAAATAACATATTTAAATATCATAATATAGACGAATTTCAGAGCCAAAGAAATGGTATGATAGAAAATATTTTAACGTAATATTCGAATAATTAATATTATATAATAATTATTTAAGATATAATATTATATATGTATATATATATACATATATATATATATATATTTATATATATATGTTAGAGGATCAATGTATATATTTCGGGCCTAAAGGGTTTTGCCTAATCTATAAAATGTGCTTAGGGGTGGGAATCTAGAGACACTGTAAGGGAAACAAACCACGACAGGTGTATATTCGTACGGTCATGAAATGATCTTAACATTCCGTACTATACACGCACACGTGTGACTATAAGGGCATATTCTTCCAAACTAAGGGCAGAAACGTAAGAGTAAAAAGAATTAATAATAGTTGTGTATACTTGTATGTCTCGAATATGAAATGACATAATCTCTCTCCCTTTCCCCCTTACTGCTCCCCTCGCCTGCTGAGGGGAGCATACTCGTTTCACTCTAATGCAACCCTGAAAAAAATTCCTTCCATATATATATATATATATATATATATACATATATATGTATTTATTATTTGTACATATAGAGTAATATTATCGCGACATTGAGTAAAATCTTTGCAAACGATTGGAAATAATTGTCTTTTTTAATTTGGATTAATCCTTAAACGATTATGTCAATCCTTTTATGATCCATTGATTTATTTATTTTATTGATCTAATTGCAGAGTAATGTACTCAGTGTCGCATTTGATACAATAAAAAATATACGGAAGTAAAAAAATTATAATAAAAGTAATGATGTAATATAAAAAAGAAAGAAAAAAAAAAAAAAAAAGAGACAAGCAAGGATTTTTTTCTATTACTTATTAAGTATAGTTTTTTAAAAGAAAACATAACGATTTGTTATTATATTATTTATCACTCGCATAAATTGTTCTCCCTAATTATTCTTATTCTTCTTCTTCTGTGTTTTTTTTTTATAATTATTATTATTATTATTATTATTATTATTATTATTATAGTCTCTTTATTTAATCCTTTTCATATTCGTACTTATATTTAATTAGTACAATTCGTATCAAGATGGGGGTTTTCTTCGTGCAAAGAACGATATACATTTTTTATATAGTCTTTACACAGAGTACACAATTCTTCGGTCCTTATATTAATCCACTTTTGATCGTAGCAATTAATTATTTGTATTAATTCAATACAAATCTCCAACTCGTTTCGCAGAAAACAATTTTTCTTTTTCCTTTTTTTATTGTATTTTTTTTTCTCTTCTTTTTGTTTATTTTTTTTATTTTTTTATTTTTATGTGTCTACTAATTGGAAATGTTATGTAGTAGACGATCGATGATTTAAATTTACACTAATAATACCGTGTTAATTTTCTGTTTCTTTTTTTTTTACTTCCTTATGTTACGCGTATATGTACAATAGAACGAGCACAATATATGTTTTTTTTTTATATTAAACTTAAATACGATATTTATCATTTTTATGTATGAATTGTATGCACGTATGCGTGTGTAAATTTGTATATCATATGATTATATGACGAATATAATTAATTGATATGATTCATTTTAGAGTCAGAGAAAGAATTTCTATTTTTCTTTTTCTTCTTTTTTTTCTATTTTTTTTTTTTTTTTCTTTTAAATGAAAATATTGTTTAATTGTTTGACAAATATTTTTTTTTTTTTTCATTTTTTTTTCTTTTCTTTTCTTTTTTTGGATGTATGTAGCAAAATGAGATACATACAAAGATACGACTAACAAAAATATATATATATATATACATATATATATATATATATATATATATGTATATGTTCCTTTCTCTACTCTTCTCAAATGCAATTATTACTTACAATTAATTCGCATAATGTTTCACTTACACACACTTGGAAGTCGTTTCTAATTACTATATAAACAAATCTACGGCTAACTTTTTTCTCGACGATATTACTATAATAATGTATTATTGAAAATTGTTTTTAAATGAAAAATTGTTCGTTTCAAATGTTTATTCTACGACGAAAGACTATCGGTACTGCTCCCCCTTTCTTTTTTTTTTTGTTAATTTTCGTTTTTCTTTATTTTAGTAGTACAGATATTCTCATTTTTCGAATTGAAAAGTTTTTTCGCCAGTAGAAAAAAAAACTTGTAATTCCTTTTAATTTCTTATCGTAATAGACTATTTCTATGCAGAGTACGCAAAGATATAGATATTTATGTACGACTAATGTTTTCTTTAATAGGCGATATGTTTTTTTGTTGAGAATATGATTTGTGTGTACATTTAACCATTGATAAAATATGTTTAATATGATTGACAGTGCTTAACATTAGATTGGATTAGCTAAATTTCATCGTAATAGTGTCTTCTTACAATTTTTTTTTTTTTAGAAATGTTCTACTCAATTTTATAGATTTTAAAGTAGTAATTCCCAAACTTTGTTCATTCTCGGATCCATAAAGGATACTAAACTTAACAAATAATAACTATCAATTAAATATTCGCTAAAAATAAATGAAACATCTTATATTATTGCGCTTAACATTTTGGGAACCACTGTATTAAACGATAGAATAGAAGAAGAGAAGAGAGAGAGTGAGTGAGAGAGGACTTTTTTTACGATACAAAGACATTCTCGCATTTGTTTCGTTATACCTTCGCAAACATTTTATTTTGTTTTTCAGTTAATCATTTCGGTCAAGCATTTTGATAAATTGATTTAAGAATTTTTCTAATCAAATCGGAGAAATCATTTAGGCGAGTTGCTAAAAACTTTACCATATAAGTACCTTTCTTTTTTTATTAGTTAAAAGTGTAATAATAAGGCACACAAATAATTGCAAACCATGATGAAACACTGCACAAATATTCACAAAAATAATATTATTTTTGTGCCGCTTGACCGACCAGAAAGATAGACCCCTTAAACGTTAATTTTATCATTCGTTTGTTCCTTTTTTCTTACATTTTAAATATTACAAAATTTGATTGTATCCTTCACATACTTTCTTCGATATGTCTTTAAGTACGTAAATAATGATCGGCTAATTAACAAACATTTATTAATGAATTAATCATTTCTTTTTCTTTTCTAGCTTGTTTGTTTTTGGTTTTGTCGTTTTAGTTGTTTTTTTTTTTTTCTTCACACAATATAAACTTCGAAGTTTTACATACATCGTTACTTATATGAGAGAGAGAGAAAGAGAAAGAGAGATATAGAAAGAGAGGGAGCCAACTATCGTTCACATAAAGACATGTAACAATTTCGTACATAATACCACTGTATCATAATTATACATTTTTCTTAATTAATTTATTTGTAAGCATTCTATCTAACAGTCCACGAATTGACGTTAGAGCTGCCAGGAACGCTAACATTTTATTCTATTTATTTCGAATTTGTTCTATTTTTTCTTGTCTTTTTATTTTTATTCGTGGTTCCAGGCAACTCCAACAACGATGATCAATTTGAAACAACCATTTGTTAACTTATAGAGTACTTAACCGAGGATATACTTCCAGGATCTTCTTTTCTCTCTAATTATTTCGATGATATGCTTTTTTTATTTTTTCATTTAATGCGATCTAACACGTGAAGAGATTTTGCTTTTTTTTTTTTCTTTCTTTTTCTTTTCTTTAATTATTACTATTATTGTATTATATTTGCGAATTCGAAACTCGTCGACGAGTTATTTGCGCATTCAATGTCCCCCTCGCTTTACAAACTAATTGTAAAATGTAAAATATAAATGCATACATTTTGCCTACTGATCAGGAGTTTACAAATTTCACACGTCTATTAACAATATTTTATTTCATTAACAAATGTTATCTATTAAATAACAATTAACAATAAAATTAATAACTACTATTTAATCGATCTTATTAAAAACACTTTGAAATTAAATTCAAATAGTATTCAACGTGTTAACAATGTATTAACAAATTCAAATTAATTACTGCATGAACTATATAATTTGTTTTTTCAAAAAGAAAACGAATTTTTTACTGGAAGAAACAAATGTCCATGAATCATACTTTTCGTTTCATTGTCCATGTTGTTAAAATATTGTGTTCAATATTTATTTAGGTTTAATCTCTGGCTTTTAATAGACCCAAACAAAATTCTATAAACCTATGGTAGGATAATGACATCTCAAAGAATTTGATTTTGTTGACACTTTGCGTGTGCGTGTATTCAATCTGGTGTTATATTTAAAAAATAATTATTACGAAATTATTGATATTTTTGTTTTGTTAGTCAATAATGAAAAAAATGATTTTAAGGAAAAAGAAAGTGTGAAAAATATCGAAACGATCGTGTAGAGATTTTAGATCTTTTCTCGCCTTATATTTTTAAAAGAATCTCCTTCGTTTTATAGAGGCATAATTATTCAAAAGAATGAATAGCACCAGATTCGACACGGTACACAACATGTGCGTTTTAGTGTTGGGAAATTGCATTACTGACCGAGGTCGTAATATTGGCCAAAGTTTTCGGTGAGATCGTCGTTGAAAAGTCCGTGAAAATTGTGCTATTGGCTAAAATAGTACTTGTCAAGACAGTTGTGAGAATAGAATGAGTTTGTAATTTCGATATCGTTGTTGATTTCTCTATGGTAGGTAAAGTGGAAGACATGACGTTTGTTATAATATTTAAGGTTGTGTTAGTTAATGGTGTCGTCGATAGTTTCCATGATTTCGGGCATAAATATTTAGTTTGGAAGGGAGGACCGAAACAAGCATCCATTAAATATGCTACCAACGAGCCAATTGTCAAGCCCGTTATATAAGACAAAGTCATTATATTACCTGTTATATGCACATACAAACAAATAAATCAGAATTAGTTTGATTCTGTTAAAGCTTCTTATTACGTTATTTTGTTCTACGTAATATTTGTTGTATTTTTAAATAATAATTACTTCGTACCTGCAAGCTCGCGATGTTCCTCTGGTACTTTACTAGGTGCCTGGATCATTGGTATACTTCCAACTATACCATTTGTTAAACCAAGCAGCCAGGAGAATACTAATGGATAACATTCGTCTGATAAAATAGGAGCGCTTCTGGGTATAGCGCATAACAAAAATAAAGGAATTAGTATTATCCTTGCACTTGAAAAGTAGAGCAAGTGAGTACGTTTCCACTGGTATGGTATAGTTGCTAATAACTGTTCAATTTATAAATAACCAATTAAAAAATAGTTCATTGAAATCTTCAACTTTTGGCCTATTTTATTATATTCATTGTTTATTCATTCTTTACCTTGCCAAAGAGATCTGAAACGTTGAAAGCTGTCATCAAAATAACTGGCATCCATGATTCAAATTTGCAAGATACAATTTCCGACACTATTCCTGGATATAAGCAAAGAGTTACGAAATATGCAACTCCGATACTAGCCATGTATGGGAAGATTAGTTTAGAGACTTCGTATCTCGCTAATAATCCTCCTAGAAATAATTCGAACAAACCATTGGTTTTATTGATTGAACGATAAAATGAAGTAAATAATAAGGGACTTACTTTTAATACCAGACCAAGGTTTGCTATTTTGATTAGCATAAGATCCTCTCATTACCACAACGTCTTCAACTTTGTAAGTTGGACCAGCACTTCCTGGTGGATTTCCAGATGGTGCACTGGGCTCATAAACAGGATTACTAAAAGAGAATGCCGAGTATTGCCCAGTACCTAAATAAATACAAATTATTCTTATGTATTCTTAAAAAGAGATAGAAATTATTCTTCAAAACAGTAAATTACCATTAAGATCTGTACTTGCACTGGCAGAATCAGTTCCCAGCGGACTAGTTTGTATCTTCAATATTCCATATTGACCTTTAGTTGGGTCACCCACCTGATCAAGCGGATCCATCTGTCGAATGAAATCTTTTAATCTCTCAATCCCATTGCTATTGCCAACGTTAAAATCACTCGGTTACCAGGCCAACGTCCTCCGTTGGTTCCAATGTAATGCGATTTCTCTCTTGGCATAGTGTTATGTAGAATTGTACAAAATCTGTCTTTCGTACCACTTGATGTAACACGAAACACATTAGTATTGTCAAATTAGACAATACGAAAAACATCGACGTATTACCACGCTCATCTTTCAACAATGATTTCGTCATAATTCGATTAATCGACACCCAAAATCCAGCAACACCTATATTCAAATTCATATTTTCTAAATGTTTTCTTCGAAAAGTGTTTCATAGCATGAAAATGATGTATACATAATAATGACTTTTGATTTTACTATTTAATTTGATTAATACAATTTACTTACTCTCTCCAGTCATAACAGCTTGAGTATACCGACTAGGAAGCATTGAAGTATATCCATAAAAGCTCGATTGTTGAACTGTTAAATAAGCAAAAGATGTTCAATAATAAGAAATAAATAATTTCGTATAGCAAAGAAATGTGTTGAGTAATAACAGCAATATATACCTGTACATCCAAGTGAGACAATAGCCACAGCTATTAAATTGATATTGTAAGAAGTACCAGCACCAAATACTTCCCACCAAATTTCGCATATAACAACAAAATTTAATGTAACGAACGAGACCAAGTAGCCTAGCAAAGTAATACAAAAATTAGGATAACAATAATTGTCATGATTTCAGGAATAATTAAATAGTGTAATGCATTTTTGTTTCTTACCAAAAGTAATTCGCATGTTCAGGGACAATGTTTCAACTAAAATATTATTAGCAAATACTGCAAAAAAGGCCATTGTAATATAAACGACTGACATGTCGAATATTACCGTCGTGCCAGGGTATCTCGTTTGAAAGTAATCCACAGCGATTATAAAGCTGTAAGCATAAAAATATCATTTTCATCGATTCTGCAAGGTGGTTCATCATTTCTACAAAGGTCAAACCACGAGACACTATTCAGTATTCGAAGGTCTTTGACATACGGTCCGAATAATAGATAATTAATAATAAATATAATAAATTCAAATAAATGATTAGTACTAGACCTGTTGTAAGGTAATAAGAAGCCTATGCCACCAAGTATCAAGGCCATATAGATGAAATTGCATTTGTCAACCGGCGGTGAAAGATGCGTGAATCCATTAGAAAATTTAAACTCGTTCATCCCTCTTGCTTTTCCTAATTGCACGTATCCACGACTGAGATTTTCGTCCATTTTGTATATTTTTCCTTGCACTTAGGGATTATTCAAATCGATAGATTTCAAATGAGATTAAGAGACAATCGAGAGGATTGATTTAATGGTTTTTTTTAATTTTTTTTATTTTTTACTCATCCATGATAAGGATTGGACACTTGTAATTTATTTAAGGGTTATTTGAGGATTAGGAAAATAAAGAGAGACAGACAAATAGAAGAGGCAAAGAAGAAAAAAGTGCACCATGTACGTTTCTCACTGATCGGTTAATAGCACTTGATTAACGCGTTATTTATTTCTTCTCAAACACTTTGTGCAGACACTTTATATCTTGCCGGAATATTAAAGGGGCGCATGCTTTGAAATTCGTCTCATTGATTTCTGCGCGCGCAAACCTTTTATCTTCGTTATTTTTCGTCATACTCTTCTTGTTGTTGATTGCAAATATTAACTTTTTTCTATTATCGGTAAAAAGTACGTCTCAAATAATCATTTCATAACTTTCATTATTCTGATATATATTGGATAATTTTAATCATTTTATTTATTAATCAAGGACAATTATAGAGGAAAAAATATATGGACGAATAAATGAATAAAACTTTAATCGATTTTGTATTTGTTTAATAATGTTCGTTTTTTTTTTTTATTTTTCGTATTGATAATAACGAAATTTGTAGATTTTTAATACAGATTAGCTAATTTAATATTGCCTACTGTTAGGGGCTAGGAATCTGTTACCGACAAGTGACGTTATCGACGGAGCATAAAATATATTGATGCACATTTTTTAGGTATTTCAAATGAATAATAATATACAGGTAACAATAAACATAGTTAATCAATAATAATTTTAAATTGAACAATTAACTTAATTGTCTATATTTAAATATTTTCAAATTTAATTAGTAAGTATTTGCTCTCTTTATTATTAACTCTATTATAATATTAATTATATATTTATTATGTATATTAAATATCAAAAGAATTTAAATACCAAACTATGTTTAAATAATGAATGTGTTTGATTTTTAGAATACCATTGAGCCATCTGGTGTTAAAAAAGAAAGTAAGTATCATTGAGAAGTCGCCATTTATTGGTAAAGGCAAGACGAAACCTCAATCTGATTAAAATTGATGCAAAAATCTATTTAGAAAAAAATATTTTGTAAAGTATCGTCATTATTTAAAATGCCTACATCATGTAGTGTATATGGTTGTAGTAATAGATTTTCTAAAGAGAAAAAGATTCAATTTTTTACGTAAGTACATTTTATTATAATTGTAATTTCATTTTTTGTCTAGTAGTTGATAAATAAATAATATTTATTCTATGTATATATATACTATCTATAATATAATTTTATACTGTTAGTGAACTAACCTCATTTAGATCAATATCAATATAGCATTTCTTTTATATTATACATATAATTATATATATTATTTTATAGTTTTCCTTTCAAGAATAAGCATAGACTCGAAGCATGGATAAAAGCGGTTCATAGAAAAGATTGGGAGCCTTCTAAGGCAAGTAGAATTTGTAGTGCACATTTCAAGCCGCAGGATTTCTTGCATCGTCCTGGTACAGCTTTGTATCCATATATAAGAAGATTAAAGCATGACGCCATTCCATCTGTATTTTCAAACTATCCTGAAAGTTTGGAATTGAACGAGTCTAATTTAGGAAAAGAAAAATTACCAACGTCTGTTATAAATGTACCGGAGTGTTCTAATGAACCAGGGCAAAGTTTCCAAGATCCACTAGTATATTCTAATGAATTAAACGAACTAACATTAAAAGTAGAAGAGCAAATAGAACATGATTATAGATATCGGAAGAAAGATATATTAATTGACAAGTTGCAACGTCAAATTTTTGTATTAAAGCGACAAGTGAATAGAAAAGATAGAAAAATAGAACGTATGAAAGCATTGATATTATATTTACAGAAAAAAAGATTGGATGATTTTCGTCGGAATTTTCTAGGATATAATAAAATGTACTTTATTAGTCATCAAAGTCGCCTCAAGTCTGCGGCAGCACACAGATAAATTAATATTATATTAAATCAATTTATTTTATGAATCACACATAATCTTGAATTGGATATGCTTTGGATAAAAATTTGAATTAAATGAAAATTTCTTCTATTGTTAGAATTATGTAGGTCAGCAATGTTAGACATTAAAAAATTCCTATATGAAATCAAAGAAATGTTGTTTAGACGCCATCTGCTTGTAAGCGGTGCCACCAATGCGGCGCCACCAATGCGGTGCCACTAATGCGGCGCCACTTCTCTGCTATACGTGGCTCAATTGTTGAAGAGGTTACTCTATTGTCGTCATCAATTTGTCGAGAATATTCGATTGAAAACAATTGAGAGTTGTTTTTTCCATTCGTGTTTTTAAGTTGAAAAACTATTTTCCATTATTAATTATTAATAATAATTGGATTTATCGAACGAATGTTTTCTCTTTAACACACAAAAACATTCATTGTTACTCTTTGTGGCGCCACCGAGTTGCTTTGCCAAAGTATTTAGTGGTCTAGTGTGGCGCGGTAATGTTACTTATAAAGAACACAACATGGAAGATATTAATAATATAAACACTGAAGAATTTATATCAGAAATAGAAGCACGTCCAGCTATTTGGGAATTATCCAGCGACGATTATACCAATAAAGTTACTAAGAAGAACGCTTGGGAAGAAGTTATTACAAAATTTTGTCCTGAATTTGAAAGAACATCTAGTCCTGAGAGAAATAATATTGGTAAATTTTGTAAATCTTTCTCTATGCGAGAATACAATCTTTGATATTACAATGCCTTGTTTCTTATTGTCTAATGTACTTTGAACAATTTCTTTTTGTGCATGAGTGTAATGGTTAATAAAACAAAAGTTCAAAGTTTGTTAACATTACGGTGTTTTAAAGCATTATTATCTTTGCAGCCTTACGTTTTCAGAGAAAGTGGAAAAGTTTGCGAGACTGTTACTCTAGAGAATTATTAAAAATGAAAAAAGAGAAAGGAACTCCAGCTAATCGAAGGCGGTATAGGTATTATAATCAATTGAGTTTTCTACAAACTGTTGTAAAACCGATATCGGTAATAGAAAATGTAGAGAATATGACAATGTCTGTGAAGAAAGAACCAGAAAAGCTAAGAGAGATGGAAGCTACTCTTAAATCACGTTCTCGTAATAAGAAAAATATATCGTCGGATATGAAACAGTTAGAAGAAAATATGAAACAGTTAGAGGAGGATAAACTTTTTGTAAGCGTAGCTGAAAAATTAATAAGAGAACGTTGTCAAGAGACTATGGAAAAGGACGAAGACACTTTATTTGTGTTGTCGTTAGTACCTGAATTAAAAAAGATACCAGACGATATCAAGCTCGATGTTAAATGTGAATTATTAAATGTATTTAAGAAAGCTAGATTAAGTCTAGGCTTTCCCCCTTCTGCATCTGCACCCTCAACGTGTTTGATTCCCCCATTAAATTCTCCATTAACTAATCAATGCCAATTAATGCAAGGCTTCAAACAAAATAATCAATCCAATGCAAATAGATCCACCACTCATACGCAAACTGCTACCTATACGTATCCACAAACTCAAAGTCCATTATCATCTTCTGTACATACGCCTTCTCCAACATCTTCACAACTTTCACATTCGTCGCAAAATTCATATATTGACTTTACCGAAAATATGTAGTCTAATATAAATATATCAGATGCATGTATAATTATATTTTATATTTTACAATTAACACAAATAATTTTCAATTTAAAAGAGAAATAAAAATTTTTCTTCTAAATTAACTTTTTCTTCTAATTTTAATTATGGAAAATCTGATGGATATATATATATATTTTTATTATAAAAATTTATCAGATTTTGTGGGTAAATATCTGAAAATTGGAAACAGAAAAATAAATATATCCCCTGCAGGTGTACCAACTTTACTTTCATTTTTCTCGAAGTGCGCTGGTGCCTTGAATTTATGGTTGCGCATGCGTATAACATATCTCCCGCTCATGACGTCGCCATTTTATAATTATTCAAAGTGTAATAATTATTTTCAATTAATTAACGATAAATACAAAATATTTCATAAAATAAAGTAGAGCAAATAGTGAGCAATTAAGAGCACTTTTTTATTTTTTCTGCTGGTAAGGGTACCGGCTAGCGTATCTACGATATAAAGCGAACAATGTGAATTACAAGTGCAGTAGGAAGACCTCTATTATGCAGTGCATCGTGTCGGTATATTACTGACGTAATCCTCGTGATCCAAACTATCTTATCGATATATATGTATATATATTTCATGTTTTAACACTGTAATCGATCATAAAGAAAAATATTACGATCTGAAATAAGTTCGTATAGAAATACATCAAATTTCAAGCCGATAATTTACAGTTTAATCATTTGGAATAACCTTTCAATAAAGAATTCAGAATTTTGTGCTAGTACACAAAATGATTCAATAAATTTAACAATAATAATTAACATACGAATCATGGCTCCCAAATAAAGGCTTTTCTGTTAACAAAATTAATCTGTTTGACGAACACTAAAGTGAATTTAAAAATAGACAAATTATAAAGAGCAGACAAAATCGGGAAAAGTTAAAATGAACGAAATTTCAGAAAATCCATTTTTTTTCTTCGTCGACAACCCTCATTCAATGTTTCCTATGGATGTTTATCAAGATGCGGGAAAGATAATTGAATTATCGGATACTGGATGTGATGCTATATCTCCATCGTCTTTCATTGAACATAAAAACCATGAGAAACGAGAAACAAATAGAGTTTGTATAGATTCAAGTAGATATACTCTACGTTCTTTAAAATATTAAAATTAAATAAAATGCAATCTTTTTGTCAATTAACATTTACATTTATAAAATTTTGCATTAATACAAATTTAATAATAGAGACTAATTACTATATCTACATTATTATTCATTTTCATAAATAAAATATCATTTTTTGTCATTAATTAAAATAGAAAAAAGTTTCATCTATTAAGTTTATCCAATTGCAATCATTTTCTTGTTGTGTAAATTATTGGTTTTATTACTGTACATAAGCTTTATATGCAATTTAAACAGGAAAAAAGGAACACCAAAAGCAATGCATTACCCAAAGACAAAGCGTTTCCAAGAAAAGTAAAAACAAAAGAATTTACGAAGGAAAGATCAAAAATTATAAATTCAAAGGTTAATGAAAAAATAGATCAATGGGAACGAAATATTGCTGATTTTGAAAATACTTTATTAAGAGATCAAAGAAAATTTGTAAATGATTCATCGTGGATTGAAAACGACGTAATCGATCCTGATTTAATATTTTTGAATGTTCAAAATTATTCAATGAATACGGAACCGAATCTAAAGAACAGAAGAGAAGAAAATGAAACGCGAAGAAACATTTTTGATGAAAAAGGAAATAAAAAACAACGAATTTCCTCGGCATCTAGTCCACCACATAAACAAAAAGAAAATAAATCTAAAATTGTTTCCGATGATGTCACAGATAAAGCAAAGACAAGTCACAAAGATAAGTTGAAAGATTTTAACGCAGGAAAAAGAAAAATGATCGATCGTGCAGTAGATAAAGACAGTCTTTCGAATACTTCCGATGTGTTTGGTATTTTTGAAGAAAATATGAAAAATAATTTGGAAAATTTGAATAAAGGAAAAAGTAAATTTAATAAGAAAGAATTAAATGACGAAAAATTGAGAGAAAATTTTAATCGGCAACGTTTTAATCGTGAAATGAATAACAAAACGATTTCAAAAAGTGCTGACTTTGATAAATCTAAACATCGTGCTAATATGCTGAAACGTTATCCTAACAAAAGTTGGATTAAATCGAGTACGATTAATTCGAATACGTATAATTCGAGTACGATACCGAAAAACCAAGATAAACAAACTTTTCTCGATAAGAAACATTTTCATAATACTTTATTTATTAATAATGATAATTCAAGACCAAAAGTTGTTTCCAATAGTGCTAGTTCGTCTTCTCGACGAGTAGAAAAGATTGAAAAAGACAAAATCAAATCGGAAGAGAAAATAAACATGGCATCGTCTCTCGACGATAATTCCGATACTTGGAATAAATCGACAAACAATCTCATTAATAGATCGAAGAATAAAAATCGAATTTCGGGAAATTCTTTAGCAAGATCTGTTCGAAAAGAAAAAGAAAATGATAAAGTAAATATTGAAAAAAAAGATTTAGAAAAAATAGGTGCCATTTTTCTTGCCTCGAGTTTGAGAAAATCCGGAAAATTGGCGAATTCAAAAACTAACGATAACGACGATCACAATTCGAAAAACAATAAATCTGATCAATTAGAAACAAACAAGATGGAGAAAGGATTGAGTAAAACTGAAAAATCAATAAAATCAAGAATACCTATCGCGATTTCTCGAATGAAAAAAGAATTAAAAGATAATTTTGATTATTTCAAATTACAAGATTGCAATAGATCAAGATCTAGATTGAGATCGAGATCGATAGTTACGGAAACCGATCGATTTAACGAAAATAAAATTGACGAATCAACGTCGACTGCTATCATTTTGGTTGACAAGTCGGATTGCACGAGAGACGAAAATAATGAGAAAGATGATAAAGGTGGAACGAGATTGAATTCGTTCAGAACAAAATTGGAAGAATCTCGTAAAAAGAAAATGGACGTTGAATCGAAAGTTTTCAAGATAGCAAATGATGTCAAAGAGAGAAGAAGACAAAAATTTGAGAAATGTGCTTTACGCGAACCATTTAAAAAATTCACAAACGAATCTCAGGAGATAGTTGATACAGCAGTTACGATACTCGAAAAATATACCAAAGGGAAAACAAAATCTTCGGATGGTGATCGCAGACTTAAAAACAATTATAGGAATCACGAAGAAATTTATTCAAAACCTTATTCTTTGAGAAGTGGCATGTATTCGAAATATTTGCATAATAAGTAAATCGAATATTATTGGAGATGTAAGTGCAGTTAATAATATTTTTCAAATAAAAATAAAAGCGATCTTTGGCTGAATTATAATTGCAATGATATGTATAGCATATAAAATATGATAAACATTACATGAAAATGAATATACCGTTGTGTCTAAAATACGAATAGGTAACCACTTCTGAAAACCTGAATTTTAATAAATATTCATCAAATTTTATTCGACGTTTATACTTGTCGAGATTTAAGAGAAGACGAATTTGAAAGCAACGACAATCACCGGAGCAATTTTTTTTGCCAATTCGGTGCAGTAACGACGTCGAGTTTAAAACGTTTAACTAAAAAAAAAATAACATATATTTATTTTTGTGTTGTTTTGCACGCATGTGTTGTTGAAGGTATTCATGAAGCGGTATTGCTCAAATAAAACCTAATTAAACATCGTTACCGCTCGAATAATCGTATTATATCCGTGTGATCACCGATAGTAATATTTATAGAATACAAGGGGTTAAATCTATAAAATAATAATAATAATAATAATGAAAAAAGTTTTCGATGAGAGAAAAAGAAGATAAAAGGGAGATAGAAAATATTGCATGTTTTTCTCCCGACTTGAAGACCACATCAAGAATCTCTCCCCTGCATCGAGAACGTTCCGTATTATGTAGCATGAAACACACGAGGGTGGTAAAAGAGAGCAGGGGTTAACATGCGGGTGAAGACTATGCTGTGACAGCAACGTAACAGAAAAGAGGGTTCCGTACGCTACGTTGATGACATAATTGGTATCATTCTGCTTCTTCTTTTGAGGTAACCCAACATTCGGCTTCTGCTATCATCCATATTTGGGTATACTAATTTATACGTCTCCCTTTTTTATCGTTTCATTGATCGGAAAACAAAAAATGAAAAGCAGAAGAAAATAATTATAATTAGAGATTTCGTTTTATTAAATATTTTTTCGAGCGATCGAAACACGTTGACCTAAATTATAAACAAAATTCAAATGCACAGTACATTTTGTATTTTTCTACATCGCAAATGATTACTTCAATTATCGATAATTTTCTATACCTAAATTTTAGGTAATATCAAGATAAATTTATTTTCAATGATCCAATGCCCGATAATTATAGCAGAAAATTGAGTACCATGTATATTCCTTTAGAAATGTTAAGAACAAGACTGAAAAGAGGAAAAAATAAAGAAAAGAGAGGAAGGTAAAGATAGAGATAGAAAAAAAGGATGGGGCGGATAGGAGCCCAGCTGGGGACAGATAATCAAATAACCTGCACGCACCGTATAAATTATCAATCAGGGCGCGATTGTGCAACCCTAACAGAGGGAGCCAGTCGCGTCACTCGGTAAGGGTTGACACTTTATGTTCGTTTCAGTCAGAGAACACATACATATATATATATTTTTTTTTTCCACACACACATACGACTTGTATGTATATACTTTCACTGAAATAAATACACTTTCACCCACAATAATATATTTTCCCTTCACATAAATACGTGGTTTTTACACACTTACGCATTAGACACAGACAAACGCATACACATATGCACCAAGTTAAAATGATTTCTACATAACAGTTACCTTCCCTTTCGATGTGTGGGCGTATAGAGAACGTGAGTTGACGCCCACATTCTGTGTGCCGTCGACACGTGCGTCAGAAGGGT